GAGACGTCTTCCTCCGCAGCTGAAACCTCTACTTCAGCAGCTGAGACTTCCTCCTCTGCCGCCGAAACCTCCTCCGCAGCTGAGACTACCTCTGCCTCCAGCACCTCAGAAGCTGATGCTACATCAACCTCTGCTGACGAGACCACCAGCCAGCCCACGACCCTGTCCACAGTGGTGCGAACTGAGTCGGAGTCCTCAACATCTGAGGCTGCAACCACCACTACTGCCGATGGCCAGTAGATCTAGACGATGGGGTCTGAGACGCGATGTCTTGACACGATTGCGCATTGCAATGGTGACGGGTCTATAGAGAGACCAACCTAATACGCATGATAATCTACTATTAGAGACTGTGATATAGTTTAGATTAGCTTGAATCTCATTACTGTTTCATCCTTCATTTTCTTGACTCATTTGGTGACTTGGTGAGCTTGTACACTGTCTTGTTTTCGCGCCCTTGGCTATGCTTAACTTACCTGAGCCGACCAAGGTGAGGCATGACTCCAAGACCCAGCAAAAGTGACTAACGTTGTCGATCTCGTGCTTCCACCAATCAAGAGCTCGGCAGACGACGCGTCTTGAATTCTTTTCCTTCATTCTAGCTTCACTAGCATCGGACAGAGCGACTTGAAAGCAAAATGGTAAGACGCGTCATATTCACAGTTTTTTTTCACTTAGTATGACAGAATTTGCCTCTTTATTCATCATAAATTTGGAATAAGAGCCTCTTTCATTTCGATAACAACAAAGAGCGTGCGTGCATCGTCCATTGCGACCCACCCTGACTGTCGCGTCAAGTGTCATACCCTGGACTTGAGTCAGTTCCAGACAATGCCACTTCACCCAAGTTATAATGATCTGAGTACTGGCTTGTAGATACAAAGTGATTCATATGATATGGCAAAACTTCGATGGAAAACCAAAGTCAAGCGAAATGCATTATGTTGGTCATTTTGTAACAACCTGCGTGCTCGATTGATCAAGACATTGACTGGCTTTTTCAGTTCAACCCAACCTGCTAGGAAGAGTTCTTGCCAGCTTGAAATGCTCTGTGCAAGTCTCTCAAGGCTGAACAAAAAATAATTTACTCTTCATGTTCATTATATGCAGAGCCCTTCCCAGCGATAACCATGGAGTTCTCGCTTCTGTTTTCGATGTTATCCAAATGTTACGTCCCACGGTGTCTCATGTCATAAACGGCTAAGACGCGGTTAATGCCTCCAACCTCAATTTGAACATGTTGACTGGATTACACAAATGCCCATCATTTTCCCTGCCTGGATCATGCACTGGGCTAGGTACAAGGAATCAAGTAGTAGTTATTCCAGTAGGACCTGGCTCAAGTCGATTGCGTTTTACGGCAGGTTTCTTGTCCTTTCCTTTATCTCTGCAACGATACTCGTCGCCTTGCTCACTGAGTCCTTGTCCTTTCTGTCCCGCGCCAGCAGAAAACGCCCAACTGCGGCTCCCGCACCAACGACAGCATCAGTGCATCTGTTGTTCTAAGTCGGTCTGGTGGTCTAGTGGTATGATTCTCGCTTAGGGAAAACCCTATAGCTTAGCTTGCGAGAGGTCCCGGGTTCAATCCCCGGCCAGACCCTTCTCTTTTGTCTCTTTTTGCTCTATTATAACTGTCATTGTGCTGGAGCAGTTTGGGCTGTCTCCCTTTTATCGGGGTTTTGCTTTCGCCAAATGTGGCTAATTCTACGTAGCCTGATCACAATCAATGCCAGATTAGACAAAGATCTACGACAAACATCGCGGCGCGTCCTATTCGTGGCTACACCCAGGTCCCAGGTACGCATATTGCCGCTGTCAAGCTGATCAAAACCTAAGGTTAAATCATGATTCATCAAACAATCATTCCAGAGTCTGTGTGCGTTAAAGTGGGTCCTGACATGTTGACCCTAGGGATCATCTACCCTGAAACAATGTACAATTATCGATCAACGGTCTAGCTAGGTGGATCATAAACAGGGGCTGGTCTTGGAATTGCCTTATTCAGACGGCATGGGCTGTGTGTACTATTGGTCACATTGATTGAATCCAGAACTTAGTGTTCACCGTTGAGTCTGTTCAACGTTTGTCCCAACCGTCAATGGATCATGACCTGAGAAACCTTCCTTTCCAACAAAGACAGTACAACTCTGTGCACCCGTTCATCATTATGACCTTACCCCATCTGTTTTGTCTACGTTCAACATGAGCCGGTCCTCTTGAGCTTGCAGACCGATTAACACCGCCCAGGTGCGATATACTCCAGGCATGAGCTTAGATCACTCTCTGCGCCCCATCGCTGTTCACAAGTATTGAGTCATAAGCCGCAATGTCATTTTGTATAGTCAAGGTAAGTGACAAACTCTTGTGCTTCATGATGCTAATCTTGTCAAGCGAACCTTTACTCTAAAGCCATCCCCTACCAATCGACGACTCTCCTCATTTTCGAATCCCTTGATATAAGCCCTAAACCACGATAACCCGGACCACGAGCCCCTCGAAGGGAGTTTCCATCGACCTTGTAGCACTTCCACCTCGGGAGTTGAGCCTTGGGCGTCCCACTCCGACAATCTGTTAGATCTATCCCTACATGGCACAGAAAAAAGGTGGGTAAAGGATGTCGAACCGCATCAAGCATGGCGTTCAATGGGATGAAATGTCTTGACCAAGCCATCCTTGATATCAGACATTTAGTTTTGCGCTTTAGGTAAGCCTCACCAGGATCACGCTACGTTGGCGATCAGTCAAACGTAGTGAAGCTTATAATGACAAGCACGTAGACATTTACCAACACCATATCCCGTTGCCCTCCTCTGACCGACTTGATTCCGAGCCAATTGACCCATTCACCTACGGTTTGCGAACTCAGCGATGTCGCAAGCTCGAAATGTTCAGGCAATGCACCACAGATTGGTCTGTACCATAAGTCTGTATCTCGGCGGACTTGTGAAGCTGCAACAACCTCAATCATCGAACCCGAAGCACCAATGGCCAACGACCAACACTCGAATATATGATTGGGAACCCGGACGAGCAACAACATGAGGCATCAAACGAAGCGACGCCAAATAAGAGGATGCTTTTAGATGTCAGTCTCCTTGTCGAAGATCAAACAATAAGCCCCACGATGATTGTATGAGCCCAGTCAACTAGCTTCAATCTTTCAGTTTAAGACTCTTGCTCCTTTCAAACATGAGCTACCGAAGCGCACGACCAAGGATATCAGCAGGCTTACTACCAGCGCTGTGCACATATGTATCTATGCCTTATAGATTATGAGCCGCCAGTAGCTCGTGCCCTAAAGAGCCAGGAGACTTGATGTTGAAGATGGCACCAAGATACCGGCCAGCAAGGCATTTGCAGCTTCGATAGTAGGACGCCCTCGAGAGCTCAAGTAGATCCTGTTCTGCCGCAGAAATTGCTAAAAGTAATGTTCAGAAACGGCGATGACCATCCGTCAAGATCCACCACGCCGGGACTGTCAAATGTTTGAGGCCGATGCCCCCCCTGATGCCTCCTTCATGCTTATCGGAGTGTTAGCTTGCCCCGTACCATGCGCGAGATCGGCGCTATCACGCACACCTCTCTGCTTCCGCTCTCAGCCTTTTCTCAACAAGTCAAACACTTTCACCCACCACCATCACGACTACAATGTCTGACAACAACATGCCCTCTTTGCCCCCAGCCAACAGAAAGGAAAGCAAAGAAGAGACAGATAAGTTTTATAGATACAGCATAAATCGTGGTGGGAGACTTGAATCGCCAAATCAAAGTGAAACTGGACAGCCTATGATACCTCGCAACTTGGCACTAGTTGCTTATATTCCCGTTACCTTCAACCAAGAATTGGGAGACTGGTGAGAGTTAAACTTCATAGTGGCCCTTGCAACGATGGGTTTGACGGCGTCGGGGTTGCCGACCACATTTATGATGCGTCCATCCGGGCACTCAAGTCCCGGATTTTAAAATAAAATATTAAATAATAGATATTAAGATGTTATACCCTTATCAGTTTATAATATCACTGCATACATAGAACTATTAAATTTAAAATTGCCTAATAAGATAAGAGACTCCTTTTTATTAATATTATCTTAATATATCTTAATAGCTTTTTCTCTTTCTTACTAGCATTTTAGCTAGTATATAATTAGAAAAAAACTAAAAACCTCTATGCCCCCTTTATAGCTTTAACTACTATTAAGGGTTAATATTTCTATAATAAAATAATCACCAAGAAATGACTTACCTCCTGGCCCTCAGAGCCGATCTCCTCAGGCTCCTCGGCCTGGGCCTGGGCCTCTTCGGCCTCCATCTCGAGCTATAGGGCAGTTCTGTTAGTTCATACCGCTCAGACTTGCCTGAAAGAATGCCACTTACACAAGTCTTCTCGAACAAATCCTGTTCCCAGTTAGCATGTGGAACTCAATCCAATAAGGGATTGACTTACATCAATAGTGGAGGGGCCCCCCTCCTTGTCGACCAGTTTCTATATTTGCTGTCAGTAAAAGATATAAAGTTGATGCACGTTAAATTACCTTGCCCTCTGTGTTGAAGCGCTGAAATGTCATAATTGTCAGACGAGTTCTCTATTCTGATATGCTTGTTGTGACTTACAGCAGCCTTCTTGGTGTCATTCTGTAGGCAATGTCAGTGACTGTACTTGTATGATATGGGAAATGATACACTTACCTTCCACCATTCCTCAAGTTCCTGTCAAACGTTAGCAATTGAGAACATGGATTGGTGTTGTGACTTAGTCGTGGCGATAATTGGAACTTACGTCGGCACGGGCCCTAAGGTCCCGGGCTTCTTTCTGGTGGTACTACACGCAGTAGTCAGTATAGCCAGTAACCACCTTGCAACCTATCTGGTATACCTTGGCCCTAGCCAAGAGGAACTATAGCTCATTAGTCTGCTTGATACTGAAAGAAAGGTGGGTTTGTACTTACTTCCTTCATTTCGAAGGCGTACTGTGAAGCATTGTTAGTCCATTGTTCGAGTAACACGAGGCGAATACTCACAGCGGATGTCCCACGGAGCTAGGCAAGTAATTTAGTCATTGTCGAGGCAGAGTCAGCGGAGTTATCAGAGGAGGGATAAGCTGACTTTTTCAGAAGGCTACGAATGTGTGTCAGTAACATTGTCCATCAAAACAATCCCTGAAGTGACTTACACGAGCGACCCCGTAGAGGGGGGGCGTCGGGGTGGTTGTCTAAACACTATCAGAACAGGAACAGTAGGCAGTAGAGCGGACTTAGACGTACAGAGGCGGCCGCGGGGGCCGAGTTGGTAGACGCGGATGACTAGGTATTCTCCTGTTAGATATGCTCATCGAGGTCTCGGCGTGGCATCGGTCGATAGAGGATCAAACATACGGCGTTACGAGACTATAACAGTATGGTCAGTCTTTATACTGCAAAGAAGGTAGTGAATGAACGCGACAAGGATGTCTGAGAGCTGTGGCGGTCTGCGGTAAGAGACTGAGTGCATACCTTCGTCTCCGAAGAGACCTTGCGCGTCGATTTCTGCAAACATATTAGCTTTGGGTCTCAAGTGCAAACCAAGAGTGACTTACGGCCTTGCCGGCATTGCCGGCCTTCAGGGTCTAAGAAAGTAGTTAGTAATCGCGTTTGTAGGCTGGTGAATGTGTTCGCATGTGCTGCAAGTCAGGGCAGTGAAGTGTCGACTTACGGTCTTCTTGGGGGCCATCTGTCAGGGATATTAGTAACCCTGCAGACAGCTAGAACGGTAGACGTTTGGTTGTCAAGAGAACTTACTGGAAAGATGTGATGCTACACGACAGGTCAATTGAGAGTGCCTGGGACTGGTGATAGCTGAGTACCACGGAAAGGGAAACTTACATGTTTTATTGTGATGCTATACGTAAAGGCAAATATGTTAGATGCGATGAGAGACAAATTAGTATGGAGCCAGAGCTTACAGTTGAAGATTTGAAATGCGCTGTGCGAAACTGCGTGTTAGTGACATGACCGGGTTTCGCATGATGGAGGGTCAGAGACGTACGGACGGAACTGCAATTGTCAATTAGTCTTAAGCGATCCTGGATTAAGGATTCTGTTAGACCTCATGGGCAAGGGGGACTTACACGCAAAGTGTTGTTGAAGGCTTGCAGAAGGGAAAAAAAAATCGCGAGAAGATTTCGGCCTCGCAATATCAAGATGGGCAGGCACGTTTCCGTTAGCGACACGGGCCAATGGGAACAGGACGCCACTCGTCCACTGCGATTCCACCCCATAATCAGATACGTACCCCAGACTCTTATAATTATATGGTATTTAGGAATTGATATTGATGGAATAAATTGATGGGATCTTGAGTGTATGTGAGGGTAGATCAGCGACTGACGTCTTGGCTCAAAGACATTGGTGGTACTGAGCCAAGACGCAGCCATTAGCTGGAACCCCAAGTTGCTTCCACCGCTGAAAATCACCGAACAATGCAACAGCAGGTAGAGGAAGACCTCCATGCGTATAAGAATTAAAACATTATCAGCAGGATTCGAGAATCGCCGTGATTGTAATTTATGCTATCATTATAATTCCCCATGGTGTATCATGCGTTATGCCTCTTGGAAGGGTTGTGTTTCGGGGCGTAACCGATGCGTCGTCAGCCTCTGCATCAATTGGCAATTGGAAGTGATAGTCTGCAAGTCAACTGTGGTGTATCAATTACTCTCGATCTCTCTAGCCTCCGCTACACCAATGTGTGCATCGTACTAATACCCGATGCGGCGTTGTCTTCTTCCACCCGGCCATCAGCTTCTTGTCCGGTGTCACCATCGTTCCCTGAGCAGCTGAACGATCTCGACTCATGTACACGCAAAGACTACAAGAAATACCGCTAACTGCACCCCAGATAATAGCAGATGTTGATGACTTTTGACTGAGCCGTCCCTGCCTAAGAGTAATCGTTGTGCTACTTGTCTTGGTGCTGGGCGATGGACCAGGAGTTTTGAGGGTATATGGCTGGGGGACCGCTGTTGTAATAATTTCTTGTGTCTGCAGGAGGGTGACAGTACTTATACTTTTAGCACGTTTGTAGTGATAACCAAGGGTTAGAATCTGCTGTGAGTTAGTAGTTAGTTGCTCTGTCATTTGGATTGCAGACCACTCACTATCCTTTGCAACTTTCGGGTAATGGGATCAATAATTGCTCTGATGAGCAGCGCAATAACCCCCCTGGCTGAGTTGATTGCACAGGCCGTTGGAAAACATTTATAGCCCTCCCTAAAGCAGCAGGATGCAGAGTATGTTGTGGTTACCGTATGGCTCATGCTTATATCCATTTGTTGTATTACTGTTGACAAGGTGGTGGCAAGCTGCCATTGCTTGGCTGGCCAGCGCACTATACTTATTAGTTTACTTCAACCTCATAAGCTGTGAATATGATAAGAAGGCTTTTACCTAGATATGCTGAACATTCTGGATAGAGGCCTTAGCCAGTTGCAATCTCTATATCTTTTGCGTCCGTCCGTCCGTAACTGAGGAACCGCTCTAGTTATCCTCATCGGAACATTAGCCACTGCCAAGTGGAGAGAAAACAGGATACTTATCGAAAGCTCTTTATATCCATCCTACCCAGCCATATGCACCATTGTTTCTTTAGTTATTTGGTATTTGGGTTTCGTTTGGTCGTTGGGTTCAATTCGTTTACAATCGGTCGCAAGGCTCGTTCGGTCGCAAGGCTCGTTCGGTCGCAAGGCTCGTTTGGTCACCGGGTTCGTTCCGTCATCAGGCTCACTGTGTCATCGGCCTCATTTGCTTCAGCCAGTTTGAGGTAGTTTGGTTTCTATGCATACTTTGCCGGAAGCAAGTATGGTTATGCGGCTGTCTAATTCTCTAGCTGTGTAACGGCATGTTCGTGCTGAGATGATGCCTAGTAAGAGCCACTTGATTGCTTGATTGCTTGGGTGCTCAGTTGCTCTGCTGTAATTATTTTGCTGAAGTTGTTGCACTCGAAAGTAGTTGTTGTGGATTCGTGGGTGTAAAACTGTAGTTGCGAGTTGCACTCGATCTCGATCTCTTGTGTAATGGGTGTTCAAAATGTTTATGAGGGTTGTTGCGTTTCTGCTTTGGCTCCGGCGTCGACCAGACCGGGTTCCCAGGCGGCACCACGTGGAGGTTGCAGAGTCCGTCTTCGCCACCCGCCGAACCCCCTCAAAAGGATTGAGAGAGGGCCAGCTTCCCTCGTCATTCTGAACGAGTGTATGAATAAGATATCGAAATTGCTATAAGGACAAGTCCATTCCAACCGAGCCCAGCACAAAGCTAAGGACTCTTCTGACCAATTTCCCTTAATGGGCTGGTGCGCGTTAGACCGATGACAAGCATCGTAGCAACCGGAATTAGCACTCCTGACCGATGATAAGCATCGCGTGCACAGGGACTAGAACTCCTCCTGACCGAGTCTGCTTAGGTGCTAAACTCTTCCGTCCAACATTTGTTTGGCACTCGTCAGGTCGAGGTGACAGCTGTCGTAACCCGCCGCAAGACTTCCGTTAATTGAGAAGGTCGTCCCACTTGCCCTCTTCATAGGGGCTATCAGGTATCGGAACTGGAATAAGCTTTTTGGCTATTTTCTTTCGAATTTCCCCGATAGCATCATCCATTCCGTCCGCCAGATTGACGGTTCCATCTGGATTATGACCGCTGACTTGGATGTTGTACCATGTATCGATAATGTTCCTGAAGGTTTCGAGTTAGGCTTGGGTAATTTTGCCCTTCTTGAACTGCCTTCGGAAGCTGGCCTTTCGATTTCGACAAGACCTTTTGACACTAGACCAGTCGACGTTTCCATTTTGGTCCATGTAGTCCTCGATACGCGGTGCAAGGTGATGTGCTGTTTCATTGCGTGAATCGCCAAGATGCAGGATGTCGATATATGTTTTCCTTTTGATTCCGACACGACTGCAAAGCACCGCCACCCGATCCAGATATGGTGTTGCAGGGGGTTCTGCTGTTTCACCCTTAGAGTGCCACTTCTTAACAGCGAGGATCTCTGGCTGGATATGACCTAAAGTCTCCGAAATTTGCAGTCCCTGGGCCGCTTTGAACTTCTTGGAGTCATTTGCTACGTTAACAGCGGCGGTACCGGGCATTCCGCTCGCTGTCAACCGAGCTTCTAAATCCTTGGCGTATTCGCGGGCGAATTTACGCTCGCCGGCCTTTACACGGTTGTGGATGTCCATAGCCCAGTCTCCGATGTGCAGATCGAAATGTACCTTATTGATGTGGGCACGTTGGGTATTGAGGCGGCCCTTGAGCCCTTTGACCTCGTATTTGCTTTCGATCAAAAGCGATAGAGCCTCCCAAGAGTCCTTTAGATCGTCAAGGTCGCGGGAGGTTGCGCATCGGGCCCGGTGTGTAAGTTTCGCCGCCAGCCTTCGGATGTTGGAGCCGAGCGATTGAATCTTCCGGGACTTGGCCGCGATGCTACAAAGAACATCTAGGGCGGCATCGTTCAAGCTCGCTGTAGAGCGTGTGCGCTTGAGGGATGCATGAGTAGTCGAAGCCATGTTCTTGCTTAATGACTTGGAACTGATGCATGCGTCAGTTTGGTCAACGACGCTGTTGGGATGTTTCTTACCTTGACTTTGAAATGTGATGAGCGTGATAGCAGTGTGTATGTGTGAATCAACTGAATAACGCAAACTGAGCTTGTATGTGTGTGTGCTTGATGAAGAAATTGTGAAGTCTGATGTGGCCGCTCTGTCTTGGTCATGTCGCTGTTCCTACTTTGAGGAAGGAGCTGACCTGGGTGGCCTGGTACACGGCAGTCACCTCCTCTGTCGGCGAAGGGATCATCGCAACTGCCCAGATATTGGTTCAGAAAACTTCATTTGGCTCACCAGCCCCTAAATGAACTTCCCATTGAAGATTCTGTTGTTCCGCCAGCCTTGTTGTTGCGCTAAAGCGAGAGACTTCGAAATGAATTGACATGGCGATGAGAATAGGTCTTCCTGGACTATTATTGATTTCGAAAAGAATTTACCTCTTCCACGATTGTGGCATACATCTTGTAGGAAGTCAGAGGCTTGTAGTCACTCCTTCGGCCAGTAAAGCCGCACTGGAGATACGGGGTAATGCAAATGCACCAAATTGCATCAGGCCATGTTCCTGCGGGATGCTCATCACCACATATTATACTAGCTTTTGCACCAGGAAAGCCTAGCAATGAAATTAGACATTAGGCTTTGTCAAAGGAAATCTACAGAATGACTCAAATCTGAACAGAGGAGAGGATTGACTAGTTCCAGCACATCGTCGGGTACAGCCAGCATTCTGGCTAAACTCCAAGTCAAATAAGTTTTGATTTTCTAATGTTATAGGTTAATCTTTGCTGTCGATATACCTTAAGCATACCTAACTGTCAATGGATGAATACGATACATAATCAAAATACAGCCATTGTGAACCAGGAGTGAATGTTCTAACCTTAGGACTGACTCATAAACCCAATACCGCCACCACCTTCAGATTGCCCCAAACCTTTTTCTTAGCCCCAATGGCAACGACATATGTGTCCTCACGAAACCTTCAGTCGACCTTTTCTTGTGCATCACCAAGGGGTTGGAGGCACCATCTTATATGCCTTCAAGGCCGTTCAAAGAGTCATAATCTAAGTTTTCCTCATATCAGCTTTACTCTATAGCAATTGGTTAGGCATTTTAGCATAATGTCTAAGTTGTGAGCCAGGTGTGTTATTTGCAGTCGAGACTTGTGGCTGAGAGCTTAAATCAGCACACAGAACTTAGATCAAAATACAGAATGATGTGCGACAATAAGATTTCGCTAAGGATTTTGGTAGCAAATAATAGTGCACCCACGTCAAGAGAGTGATGAGTCACGCCGAAAAGTATGTTACGGCGAGGATATAAATATGTGCTCTCCTGTAGGCTCTGGTACCCTAAACTGATCTCTTTTTTTCTCCTGATCATTTATTCTCAACGCTAAAAGTCGAGACACACTGGGGACTTATTGTCATAAACACTATCGTTACCTCATTCTCAAATTATCTCTCTATTTCAAGACAACTCTTTGAGTAACCATGACTGCTTTTAAGAGATTCACAGAGTTTCCTAGAGAGCTTCGAGATCGAATTTGGAGCCTTGCCATCCGGGATGACCATCCAGGAGTACATATCTTCGGACAATATGTGACCGGAAGCCATCGTATCCTATCTTGGGACGGTACAAGCTTTGATTTGGCTGCGCCTTCATGGAGCCGGTACTTTGAGAGCTTGGACGAGCATCGCAGCGACGAGAATATTTCGACATATCTTATAGACGGTGGCTTATGGACCGCTTGTCACGAGTCACGATGCATCATGGAAAAGCATTTCAAACAGTCAAAACGACAATCAAACCTACGTCCTCCTGACGAATACCGAAGAATTTCTAGTGCGAAAGAACTTTTCAAAAGGGCCACATCAGGCTACTTTGATGGTGCTCCTCTCGAAATAGTGACAGTTTTTCCCCACAGGGATCTTTTTATCTTGCAGCACGATGACTTGGACAAGATCGACTGGGGTTCGATTGGTTACGAAGCTGCTCTGGCATCAACAAGAGAAGAGTTCCATGGAGTGGAGCACATCGCAATAGAGTACGACCGAGCGTGGGGGAATGGATCTAGCAGAGGAGATGTTAACTATGCGCTTTTACATGCTGCTGTCGGAGCAAACTATACTATCTGGTTCATTGACCGCTCTCTGAAAAGAAAGAGTCAAGCTTCAGTATTTAAAGAAGAGTCAGACTGTTCCTGGAAGATCAATGCTTTCTATGCCAGCGACAGGAAATTTTTGGAGATCAATGACACCCATGCCCTGTTGGAGGACTGGGAATACATCGGGCCGGTGGAAAGCTATTGGTACGATCATATCTGTGATTCGCTTGACTTTGTTCGCCAGTTAGAGATCGATCTCACTGACCAGTACATCGCTGGCGGCTATGAAGCCGAGAAACCCTGTACCATTAGGCTTCTCGGATGGGCCCACTTATGAGCTGCCGGGGGTGGATGGGGGAAGATACCAATAATATAATGAAATTAAAAAGGAGAGGATGTTACTACTAAATAACTACCAGCCATGATTAAAACTATGACCTCAAGACGTGTTTGGTTATCTTGTTCGTGTCTAATCCTGGCGTGTTTGACGAACGAATGGTTTTGCTTAATGACACCTGATACGAGTTCCATTGCCCGTCCCCCGAGGTAGATAAAAGCATATGACCTTGACTTCTCCTAATCTGCTGGCCAAGTAGTGCCGCAGATGCCTTTCCGGCGACCGGAGATCAATCGGCCCCACATCGGGGGTCATCCGGCCTCTGAAAGCTTGTCTAGGCGATGAGCATTGCACTCACACTGCACCAATTTCTCAAGTCCATGTCAAATTGAGGCAACATAAATGATCGAAAGGGAACCTTAGACGTGGCGCCGTGTCGAACTCCGCTTTACTCATTGAAAGATCATCTGGGCGTACGGAGTACGGATCCAAAACCGACAACTCCACGCGTGCCTCTAATGTATAATCACCTCGTAGATATCACCATGATTTTGTCCGTAGCACATACTCCGACCAATGATCTAGCATGTGCCATCTCAATAAAGTAATACACCATTGCTAGGCAATAGCCGAGAGTTCATTTCTGATCCTGACAAGCTCACGTCCCTGTCAGATTACCCTGGACACATGGCCCTCAACTTCGAGACCTCACCATACATCCGGGTAAACATGGTTGAGGCGGGGCCTGGCATTAACGACGATAAAATATACGCGAAATTGTACTAACTGATTTCCTTATACAATTTGCAATCAAAATGGAAAATATGCGAAGAGAAAAATGGCCCAAGTTAAGCAATTATCCCATATAAAAGCAGTGTGGACGCGGTTTTTTTTACTTCCACTGTCAGTAACTTCAGTCCCATTTAATCCACGGCGATTGCCAATGTTACCCAACATCGAACCCATAGCAGAGCGACGGTTGGATGCTGAGCTTGATAGTTCAAACTCTGGATCTTGTGGTACTCAGTTCCACCTTGCTTGATAACAGTCACTTCACTCCCTCTAATAGCTTGACCCTAAGCCAAGATGTTCAACGATGAAGCTTTCTTGTGTGTAATATAAATAACAGCGAGAAAGTTCACCCCCTATACCTCCATCTCAAGCCCCCTCTAGTCGTCCATCAACTCATGGTCTTGCTGAGACCTCCGTGCCATCGCCAGGCCAATAAACCCCTGTGATTGTTCGGTCTAATGACGTTGACGAGTAGAAACTGACAGTAAGTTACTGGTGTTAAGCGGGGAGGAAATGAAACTCACCTTGATGGACATAGAAACAAACTCTGAGATCATTTGGGCCCTCTGCGCTTCAGCTCCTCCTCGACCCGAGAGCCACCATAGCGCTTATCATTAGCGATCGCAGGGTTACGAATTCCCAGACTCCCATGCGAACCCGGAATGTTTGAGACCTCGATCTTCTTCTGATTCAAGCTAGGCCAGACAAACCCCTCGGGCACATTTGCAAGGGCATCGAGGAGATTGTCATCTTGCCCACCTCCCGGACCTTCTTGTTCACCGGGGCTGGGAATGTAGTTCCTGTTTCGAGTGATCTTGCTGGAGTTGCGTTGGTCGTGCCAAGCGACACGCGCTGCTGAGAGGGCGCTGAAATTGTCTCGGTGACCTGATACTCTGCAGTCAAAGTATCCGTTGGCTTTCCCCAGTCTGTGGGCTGTCCTCAGTACTGCTTTTGGCAACCCAATCTTTCACCCAGTTCCAAAGCTGGACGAGATTGCTCTAGACATCGTGGTCCGTGAAAATTACGTTACACTTTGTCTCGTATCCAACAACAATGGTTCGCTGATTGTGAACAGTAGTGGTCCACGAAACTTGGAGGGGCGATTCGATGCTTGCGTTGATGCTGGAGATGCCAGAACCGTCTTTGCCGTACACAAAATAGACCGTTCCTCTAGCAAGTTTGACTAGCTCCGCTTGAAGTTTAGCCTTCAAGATGAGGCCACTAAAAAGTTTGTTCAAGGTGTTAATCTCGAGCCGCCACTTTTCGACCTCTTTGGCAATCTCGTCGTCACGTAGTATGGGCATATTGGTATACCTATCGCTGAGGTTAGCCATGTTCATGGTCAATGTTTCACAGATACCGCGCTGAAGTCCGTAGGATGGTGGAAGGGTAGGTTAGGCGAATACACAGCGTTGTAGAAGACGGCGTTTCGGCCTTGGGCATTCTCGGTCATTCGAACTGCGTGTTCGCAGCGCTTCGTAGCCGTGTCATTTGACGGCGTTTCGATCCGTTTGAAAAGCTTCTGGGTCTCATGATAAGTGGTGTAGGGGCTTTCGTATATTTGTCGTCCTCGGCGGCGCGGTAGTCAGCGATGTCGAGAAGCCAGGAGTGGTAACGGCTGCTTATTGGCAATAATTGAAGCGGTAGTCGATTTGTAGTGCGATAGCAATAGGTTTGTGGACGCAAGGTGCTGCCGAGGTATTGCATCCAAGCTCGCTAGCCACAGTAGCATTCTTTCTCGAGCTTCTAAATAAATTAGTCCGCGAAATCCTTTTTTTGAGCCTGGGTCCCTTACTATGCCTCTCTTTTTGCGATATGCTCTGTTGAATGGGTTGGATCACAGCGGTCGCGTTCGCATGCTTGGATTGGACGTCCTACCGCTCGCCGGTTTGTTGCTTCAACCAAGGGCTTATCCACCTCATTCTTTATAGCGATCTTGTTGAAACTTGAATTGCTTGTCCGAGTTCCAGTTTAAGACTTGCGCAGAGGTGCCAGTCGTCATGGTATCCTTCTTTCGGAACTCGGTTCTTGGAGGGAATCTTGCTCGTTGTTCGGGTCGAGCCTTGAGTAGCAAAGTCTAGATGCGCTTCGTTAACTAGCGTATTGTTAGTATACCAGCCTTGATCTCCAAAGTCGTCATCTTTTTCTCGGCACCTCGAATTGCATCATGACTTTTTGAGTCGTTTGCTCGTGGTAGATCACAACCGCAGTATGGGGCCGACTTCTTCAGTTCAAGCACCAGTCTGTCCATGGACTTCCTGGAATCCTCAATACCTAGGTCATGGTCAGAACCTTCCCCATCACGTCTACGCGACCTTCAGCCAGTAACTGGTAGAGACAGCGCGACGAGTCGAATGACACGTCAACATCGCCAACTATAGGTCTCTGTTTACACACAGCCTGAGGTGACTGTTGAAGTCATCTGAAGCAAGGTCATGGTTTCTTCATCGAGCGGTCAAGAACGGTTTTTGAGGAGAGGTTCGTCGACAAATCGCAATCATTCGAATTGTCAGAGGCGGATGTGGTTGTCATGGTATTTCGGTCGGACCTCAACCGTTGTTCCTAATACAGATCCTGTCATCACGATTAGAAAGTCTCTGGAGTCAAAGTAAGAGTGAGTACAAGCGTTGACTCGAATACAGACCTTTGGGGTATGGAAAGGCGGTAGAGTATTCCAAAGACTGGCGATTTTCTCGATGGGAAACACCAGTTCATGGAACAACTTGTGGACTCTACGGAGAGACAGGTGTTCCTTGCGACGGAATGCGCCCTTCTCCAGGACGAATCTGCGGCTCATGCCCGCAACACAGTTCTGTCGAGCCAGGGGATTCTAGCTGATGTGACAGAGCTGCTGACCGTTAGGATCGAATTGGTTCATTCGTTTCGTTTCTGCCAATGCGAATTAGAGTCAATTCCGAGGTCTGGTAACAATCTTGAGTTCTAGTCCAGAACATTTTAACGCGATCAGAAAGTGTCTGTTGGCAAGGAAGAGAGAGTACAAGCAATGAGACGTACCTTCGAGGTGTTAGAAAAAGCAGTACGGGAGTAGGCTTCATTCATCAGTGATCAAAGGCCGTTCCGTAGTACGACCGACGGTCGACTCCAAGAAGCTACCTGCGTTACTCACGATGTCATGATGCCTTCTCTGTGACAAGTTTGCGGCTCTTACTCACAACGCAAACCCTTCGAGCCAGGGGATTTTCGGACATGCGAACAAGTTGCTGGCTGTAGAATGGAGTTGGTTCATTTGTTTTCTCGGGGACAATATGAGTAAGGGTCGATTAAGATATTGGGGTCTGCTAACAATCTTGTCGTCGGCTAAGATCAACACTCGTGTGCACTATGGCATCCAGGTCGCGAGATGTGAGACCCTTTGATATGGCTCTCCCGGTACGATTCAATGCAACTGACGGTCGACGCTCAAGACTGAATTGATTGGTAGATGTCACGGTCGCGTCGTGTTAATGTGCGTGGTGAGGACAATCATGAGGGGAGAATGCAACGGCCTGGGTCACGTCTCAGGTCGTATTTCGGAGAAGAGAAATAATGAGTCTGAGATCGCTCCCTGATTCGATGATGCGAAAAGTGCCGTTCATCCTGGGGGCTCATGTGCTGGCTTGACGCGGCCTACAAAATGCTGCGAACAGTAGCATCTGTCAGAGGTCATTGAATCGAAGATGAGTTACTTTACTCATATCTCACCAAAGACTTTTGTTGCTCAACGTGGTCCGTAGTTCGCCGACTATGAATACATTTCGGGAATATGATAAACGGTGACGGTGACGGCGGTGGTGATGCCAAACTGCGCCCTTCTTTGCTTCAGAATCACACCGAATTGCGCCAATTGAATGGGTTGGTCCATGGCCTTCTCCTCTTGAGACTCTGGATAGCATGGTCGGCGCGGGGATGGGAGGCGATTTGCTACGAGCCTTGCAACTCTCTTCCGAGGTCGGCTGCCACCTGGCTTGCATAGATTTGGCTGTCTCGGTTTGCTCAGCGAAGACAGCGTGGCCATATGCTATAATGAGGTCGTACTCTCAGTTTGCTTGCTCGTCAGGTCGACGAAGTCGTCGGTCCTAGTTCGCATACCAGGCGATTTGTTATGTTATTTGACTCTCCTTCGAGATGGGTTCTCATCTTGATTGATCGCCATATCTTTGACGGTCATGCTGTGTGTGGTCTGAGACTGCTCATTCCCGAAGGCTCTAGAACAGACGGTGTTTCTGACGATCGGTCAAGAGTATGCCGCTAAAATTTGTCGGTCTTCTCGGTCGGGTTCCAGTAACTCTCGGGTGTTGATCAGGAAGTGCAAACATCACAGTGCTCATAACACTGACGAAAGTCATACTGAAATGGTCAGCATCGTTCATTTTATCGAGTTGAGACCAGGGAAAAAGATCTGGCCATGATATGCTACTGACATGAAAAGATTTGAGCAGTCAGGTGAAGGGGAAAATGGTGAGGGCAATGACAGTGAAATGAGCAGGGTTGGCAAAAACGCGGGCGGGTGGGGGCAGCTCTCTGGCGGAAAGATGCAGTTGCTCCAGCATTCTCTGTTCGACATTGCCACCCACATCTTTTACTTCTTTGATGGACGGCCTCTTTCTAATTCATCAGTTCTCAGTGCTAGGTGCATCTTCGGCCTTGTCTTCAGGGACAATATGTTACATAAACCCTCAGAGTGTGTAATTAATGGCCCGAATTCGGCCAAGCAAGCGATATTCAGTTTCGTACACCTTCCATCCTTTTTACTTCGATCCTCCAGGCTCAAATCGCAACTGAAGCCGCCCACATCGACGCCTTGTTCCTATCACAGACCGCGCGTCTTCCTTTGTTTCCCAGCGTCTTGATTCCTCTCCGAGATTACTTTTCTCTGAGCCCAACACGCCGTTCAATTCGACAACAGTCCACACGGTTTCTCGACTCGGCGTGAGCATCGCTTGACAAGGCACCTTGAGCTTGGTACGTTACCGGCTTCATTTGTCATGTTCAAGATTAACACGATTCTATGACATTACAGGCCTTTCCGCAGTCAAGAAGCACAGCCATTTGACCCCCGACGTCACCGAAGATCTCTACCCCACCATCGTTTGGCTCACGACTTCAACTTCATCATCCCTAAGATCCATCTCCATCCTGGCGCTTCTAGACAAGTGACAACATCCCAGAATGGCTGTAAAGTGATAAGGTGGTATCATTTTGCTACATTACAGAGCCTAGAGACTAGAGGCAAGCTACAGACTCATCAACTCAGAATATAGCCTCTCTCAGGCACCCATCACTCTGCAGCATCTCCAGACTTTCCGTATTGATCGAATCATCTTATCCAACGTCTCCCCCGCCTCTGTGCCCTACTGGCCCGCACGGCGCGCCGGTATCGATTCCTGTTGCGCTTGCGATTAAACGGGCCCAATTGATGTCTTTGGATAACAGCAACCATGGGCGAGCGACAGTGGTGTTCGTCATGAGGACGGATGTAGAACCGCACCACGTGTGCAGGTAGCCACAATTGCTGCAATAAATTGGTTACTGACTCGGAAGCATAACGACAGGTACCACACAAGGAAGTAGTCATTCACAGCGAAAGAACTGTGACTAAAAGGAAGGGAAATGTCTCTGCATCTTTTCGGATGTCGACTCGCCAGCCACGGCCTCTTTGACAAGGGATAGACCCTCAATAGTACGCTGGTGTTCACTAAGATCGGCCTTCCTCCCCAACCCGGTGAGCAGGGTGTCTTCAGAGCACAACAAGCATCATTACTTCTAAAGGTACAGTGACCCTCGCGCTTCCCTCGATCCGCGCCAAACACCCGACCGCAACCCCATAAGCCGTGAAGAGAAAGTTCCTCCAATGGATGCCGAAACAATATACTTGAGACGCTACAATGGTGACTGTGTCTATAGCCTCAGGTCTAACAGGGAAACATGGCAGAACCAGGGAAGATGTGAACACGTTTATGATTAAAGGGAGAAAGGTTTGATGCTTTGCGTCTACATCTGATAAATTGCGAATCCAAATCGACCACATATCACTACGCAGGTTTCATGTAAGCACTAACCCAGTCCAGCTCCCTTGAGTCAACATCGATGATTTCAAGCCATGTCAGGATGATTCGGTGAATACCCCATGCTCTAGCTGCAGTATTTCTCGCCTTCTGATATGTTAACTGTCAGGTGTGTGCATCGTCTCGTTGCCCGTGCGCAGCCATCTTTTGATGATTTTGTTTGCAATCGTCCCTCTGGTCGCTGAATCCCATCAGACACATGCATTACTCTGTCTTATATCACCCTGTGTTTTGACCCTTGAGCCTCTGTTAACCCGCATCCATACCAAAGCAAAAAGAACAAACGGCCATCCATCATCGTACAGGGTTCGAACGGGACACTCACCAAGGCCGGCGGTTTCAAAGCCATGCGAGGGTGGCTGGGTGAATGCCGCATGTTTCTTACCTTCTGGTTTGTTGACAATCAGGCGTGTGCATCGTTCTAGAGACGAGGATCCATTGTCCGCGAATCCTTTTGATGCGTCGTTAAAATCTTGTCTGCAGCTTGCCAAGGTGCGAACTTCCAATACCGCAATATCTCCGCTCTGTTGAGATGTTCACTTCACCAGCCATGTCCTCACCCCAAGAGACCGGGTTTCTACATTGATGTAACTTTGAGTCGTCGCCCAGCCTGCCTGATTTCGGTTGTAAAGTAGTACACTGCCACCCGCCGCGGGCAAGTCCCGCGCTCAGTGGCCGACACCACTTAGACACCCTATGATGAGCCCTGAATCAAGGAAGTAGTCACAAAATTTAGCGGGGATACACACTATAACCCCAGAACAAGAACGCGGGGAAAGCTCTGAGATCGGCATTGAGAAAACGCCAACGATCTGGGGTAGCTATATGCCTAAAAGTATATAAGTCAGACCAACGAGCATTGGTCAGAGGATATCAGGCACAGCAGCACTTCAATTGTAGAAGAAGCACAGTATCTTTTCGAATTCTCTTTATCATGCCTGCCATTGAGTTCGCCAACTCCCACGGGAGCTTTATGCACCACCTCGTGTCAGGCTCCTACACGAACAAGACGCTCTTCCTGCTCGCATTTGACACCATTGCTAAGACCTTGACTCTGAACGCTACTGTCCCTGGCTTTGGTCTTCATCAATTTGTCACAAGCAATGCTGCCAAGAACCGCGTCTACGCAACCGCCATGAGCGAGCCTCCTCAGCTTTTCTCGTGGTCGGTTGATGAGAACTACCAGTTTACTCATCTCGACACGGTGAATATCAGTAAGTCTAATGTGCTGCCTACGCCGAAGCTCTTTTGCTGATTGTTTCAAGCGTCTTCGTCTTGTTACTTCTCGGACGATGGCAACTTGGCTTTCTCTTCTGGTGGCTCAACTGCTGCTATCCATGCTCTCACCGAGAATGGCGCTATCGGCGAGCAGGTTCAGGAACTTTACATGGTGCCAGAGGAAGAGATTGAGAATGTAAACAAGACAAGAGCGGCTGTGGTAAGTTAAGATAATACTTCTATCTCATTTGCTAGTGCTAATGGATATCCAAGCTCTATGGCGCTCATGCCTTTGACATCAACGTCAACAGAAAGGGCTTTGTTCCTCACTTGTAAGTACCCAACCCCATGCTACGTACAACGTGGCTGACTCTCAGCAGGGGCATGAACTCCATCTTTATGTACGACATTGCGGAAAACGGGACTGCCACGCCTCTGTCAATCAACCTTAGTCCAACTGAGGGTGATGGACCACGAAACTCCTATTCTAGCAAGGATGGAAAGCTCCTTTACGTGGTAAGTCATTTTGAGGATGAGAATAAGACGCAGCAACGAAGACTGACACCATGCATCAGATGACCGAACACAGTAAGCCCATTGAAGTTATTGAACCCAGTACTGTGGAACCTTTCACTAACCCTCGTAGACCAGTGGATGGATGTTTATAGAGTACTAGACACACGTCTCGAACATATCCAAAGGGCAAGTGCCATTCCTGATGGTGAGTCAACCTATCAAATTCCCAGTCCGCAGTTATCTCTAACAATTGAAGATGTGCGAGGCGTATATACTTTCCGCAGCAACACAGTCCAAATGTCCCGCGACGGCACATATCTCTTCACCAGTACTCGCAGCTGGAACAACACCGAAGCAAATGGCTACGTCGCGGCATTTGCCCTCAACGATGATGGACTCCTGAAGAGCGAGAAAGCCGTGGCTTTCTACGAGGCACCTGTCACTCTTGGCTCTGCTGGTGGTCTCCGAGTTGCCCCTTGGCAAGACGAAACTAACAGTGATCCCGACGGTATCACGGACTACATGTATCTCAGCGATACTTCTGAGGGCTGGATGTTCATTCTTGGTTGGACTCCTTCGAATCATACTCTTGATGTTGTGGCTTCGCTGCATTATCCTGATAACAGCACGCCTTACGAAGCAACCTGGCTTGATTAGATCTACGAAGCTCTGAGATGGGTCGAAGATTCGGTACATAGTTCTATGTCCTAATTCCTCTAGTAATTTCATAGAGCCATCACAGCTTCAGTTTCATGCAGTGGCGCGGAGCATGGATGCAATGGTCCATATATCATGAGTGATGGATGATGAGTAAGATTGAAAGGCATTTTGTTCTTGCTGTGAAATGTCTATCTTCCTTCTTGGGGCTTTACACGTAGAGTGGTAATTCAACAGTGACATAATCTCTGTTAAGTCCAAACATAAATACGCAGTGGTATTTCTGCACGCCTTTGTGTGAAGAGTTAAATGAACAGAGATTTAAATACTCACGGGTTATCTTACCCAGTCATCACGTCAAGCAGGATTTCTATCCGTCAGCAAGAGCAGGAACGCAAACTTCTACAGCATATAAGCAGCTTATAGACCGTCAGATACGTGCATCACGTAAAGCTCCCGCTAATTCTCTAGATTTATTAGTTCACTTTGCCTATGCTATGGTCTACAGTTGCTTTGGTAAAGGTTCTGGAACAGTATTGTTTCTCTCACCGACTGGTACACGCGTTAGTGGAAGCTGGCAGTGGGTGATGTTGGTATAAGGGAATGACTTGAAGCACTTACCATCTAATGCTACAAGAAAACGGCTGACACAGTTGTAACATGCAACCTGGAAATTCTTGTCAGTCTCTCTGAGAAAAGGGTTACGTTACGAGAATACACTTACTGTTGCGACAACCTCAATCATCTCTTGATCACTGGCAAGCGACTTGAGCCATTCAAATGTCTCATCCTTCACCTGAACATTCCTCGTCATTTCATCAGCCACGACACAAACAGCCCATTGCTTCTCATTAAAACCCTCAGGCCTCTCACTCCGCAACAAAGTCCCCTCCTTCATAATTTCGTTCATCGACTCTGATGAGACACCGCTATTGACCGCCAAGGGCGCATGGTGCATCCACTCATACCAAGCCCTGTTTACAACGGCAATGCGACAGATGGCAAGTTCTCGGAGATCATCGGCCAATGACGTCTTTGTGCGGACGGCGCCGACGAAAGTGTTCCAGCCAGCGGCGACATGAGGGGAATGCAGTAGTGCCAAATCGAGGGGTTGAATGGGGCGGGGATGACGGCGGGCCGCAATTGCAGCGACGATAGCTTCTTCTTCTGGGGAGGAAGTTGGAGGAGGATTGGGCATGTAGGGGACTCTCATTATGGTTATTGACTTTGAAGACGTGTGATGTTATCCAAAGCTAAGACATAGAATTGCGAGAACACTAGCATAACTGATATAAGTTATTACTCGTCTCCCTCATCATCAATCGATTAACTACAGCTCTTCAATTCCATGCCCGCATTCCCCGCACACTCCGCGGTAACTCGCCGCGGAGACTGCCCGAGCCAATCATGCTTACCACCGATGCCCGTAGCTCCGTCAAGTTGAGACCGACGACAATCCCCCCAGCTTTCGGATTTTCACCGCAAGCCAATTCTTCACTTTTCTCTACGTGATCCAAGCTTATCAGAAGACCGATTGTTATCTCTTTTCCCCTGGAAACATGGAGACCAATGACGAGCAAGGACAGGGACAGAGCTCCGCTCGGTCCAAGAAACAGCGGATGTCTCGCAAGTATCGAGGATTGACATGTGCCAATTGCCGCGCCAAGAAGGTCAGAACGTCCTCTGTTCTTCATTTTTCACTGAGTATTAGCTTTTGCTGACTTGCTTGGTGATATAGGTTCGATGTGAAGGGAGTCAACCGACCTGTAAAACATGCGAAGTCTACCATGTCGAATGTCGCTATGACAAGCCACCGCCGCTGTCTCAGGTCGTCGCGATGGCGCGCAAGCTGCAAGAGGCAGAAGAGATGATTGAACGCCTTCAAGGTGGCGAAAACCCCATCAATCATCAGAACATGAGAGCATCTATTTCCGAGAGTGTTGCCCCAGCATCAAGGTCATTCGTCACCGAAGACCTATCAACGCGAGTACCGCTATCATCAGGACAAAACATAGAGCCTGTCGTGCTGGAAACATCACCTACAGCACATCAAAACCGTCTCCAGGATCCTCCCCGACCAGCCGCAACTATCGACGGTACGTCGCAAGACGGTTTGGCTATAGATCTCAGCGTGGATGAACATGGCAAGATATGCTATTACGGTCCAACGTCTGCTGTCCATGAGCCTCTGGGTCTCGCATCGCCATCTACAAACTCGATGAGTCGCGGGGATGGATCTAAGAGGACCGACGTCCGCGCTTATCTGGTATCACGAGCTCGGGAATCGACCATATGGGAGGAATTTGCTCTTGGAAATGCATCGCTTCAACTTGGGTTACCGCGACAGGTTATGGCGAAGCTTCTTCATCTGCACTGGACTTGGGTTGCTCCGATGTTTATGTGGGTGTATAGGCCGGCATTCATGCGTACGTATCTTGGGCTGCTGCAGCATGGCTCGCATCTTGACTAATTTCTCTCGCCTTCAGGTGACATGACGACCGGAGGCCGTTACTATTCCGAACTTCTACTCCTCGTGTTATGCGCTCATGCCTCGAAGTACTACGACAGTAACCACGCGCAACTACTCTTCTCCCGTGTTCGATTCCTCCTCGGCGACGAGATACAGAAGCCAAGCTCTATACCTACCATCCAAGCTCTTTTGCAATTGAGTGCCCGGGAACTAGCTCAAGGCTCCATCTCTCAGGCATGGCTGTATAGTGGGATGGCCTTCAGAATGTCAGCCGACCTTGGATTGCAGCATAATGGGCCCGATATAGCGGACCTCAAGGGACTGGATCCAGTAGACTTGGAGATTCGAAAGAGGTTATTCTGGAGTTGCTATTTCTGGGACAAGTGAGCGGCCCATTTCAAGAATTATGCATAGTCTTGGCTTACATGGACCTGCAGAGCTATCAGCCTTTACACAGGGAGACTTCCAGCAGTGACCGAGCTACCGCAAAGCCCCATTGACTTCAGTATGCGCTCCAAGCCGATTAAACCATTCCATCCTAATATTATGTGCAGTGGATGACTCCGCAGAGTCTGATGTATGGTCACCATACTACGAAGACACTTCACCACTTACTCGACTAGCACCAAGCCAATACCCCGTGATGAAAAGTCACGCTGTGTCATGCTTCGCAAACTCGTGTAAACTCTCTGTCATCATCAACGATATAATAGTACAGCTCTACTCAAAGCGAAGTAGAGCTATAACCGAGTCGTCGCTGAACGATATCAAGGCACGTTTGGAGACATGGCGTGCTGAGTCACCGGTGCATCTGCGTTATGACCCGGAGTATCTACCAACCATATGTCCGCCTCCCCATATCATCTCCCAGAAGTAAGCTTTCAATCCCCACGTTGCTGATAGTCGTGTTGCTGACTGTGAGTAGTCTACTATACTTCACCACTGTCATCCTCGCCCATCGCCCATTCTGGTCCGCCCCAGCATACTACCAAGTCTGCATGAGTGCCGCATTAAGCATGGAGAAACTCCTCCTAATGCTTGAATCAACCTTTGGCTTCGAGAACATCACGTATCTCATGGGCTATTGCATCTACACAGGGGCTTCAGCCGTGCTAGAAGACGCGAAGAACAATGATGGCGCAACGCACCCCACTATGCAGACCTTTCTCAGAGCCCTCAACCGTGGCATGGCAAAATGTCCGCTTCTTGAGCGCAGCCTGCACATCATAATAAAAGGCCTGAAGCGAGCTCCAGTTCAACGTCCGGCACCGGATCAATCGTTATCCGATAACACGGCCACAGCTACCATGAACAGCTATATCCCAGCCTTCCCATATCTTGATCCCGTAAGCCCGAATGACTTTGACATGGATGCGTACTTGAATAGCATGAGCATGGATGCGATGGCATCGTTGGATTGTTACCCAGAGCTACAGATTGATCTTGATGAAATGATGAGACATGCACCGGCTTAGGAATTACCCAGCAGTTGTTTAAACGCCTTGAAGGGACTCATACACAGTACCTAACACGACGAGGAGTCTATGGTGTTTTGAAGGACGGATATGCGTTGCCGAAGGTGTTGGCGGCTGGGCAGGTACAGGCATTGGTATGATATCAAGGTCTATAAATGACTTGGGCAAACATCGTCTTTGATTCTAAAGTGGTATAATTTACAGTGATGCTTTTAACGGTATCTAGTTATCGTAAAGGCTAGTTCTGTATACCAGTGTTGGCCTCAGCTAGCGTATCAGCCTTGAGAGCTGGTCTATCGGCCTTTCCGGCAGTAGTCTAGGGCAAGATGTTAGCAGCGATTCACGCAGTGGCATGAACAATAGTTACTTACGCCTCCATCGACGGGCATGATCAGACCTGTGATCCAGCCAGCTTCCTTACTAGCCAAGAACAAGATAGCTACACGACTTAGTGTAAGTCCCGAAGACACAAGCATTTGGGCTGACTTACCATAGCCAACGTCCCAGCCAGTTCCCTCCTTCTTCATCAAGTTCTGGTTAATCCTTGCTTGTCTCATCTCATCCGTCATTCCACGGCCTCTTGTCATGGGAGTATACACCATGCCAGGCGCGACACAGTTAACACGGATGTTCTCACGGCCGTGATGAGCTGCCATGGCTCGTGTCATTTGAATGATGGCACCCTTGGTGGTAGGGTACAGCAAACTGGGGTTGCCGCCGAGTACTACAGCAGCTGTTAGCTTGGATAGGTTGGAGGTGAACTGAGGATACTTACATCCACTAACAGATGACATGTTGATGATAGATCCACGGCCCTGCTTCCTCATCTCAGGAATGGCATATCGGCTCATCATCACCATACTTGTGACGTTGATGCGGAAATCTCTGTCCCAAGCATCGAGGTTTATTGTTGTGGCATCACCCATTGCACCGCCAACACCAACTATTTTCGCTTGTCAGTACATGTCTCTCGATGTAATTACGCATGTCATTCAACCTACCAATATTGACAAGGATGTGAAGAGCGCCCCATAGTTCAACAGTTTTGTCGATAGCATTCTTGCACGACTCTTCACTTGTGACATCGGCCTGAATCACCTCTGAAATACCACCCTCCTCATCAATCATGCGCTTGGTCTCTTTAGCCCAGTCCACGTTGAAGTCTACAAGGGCGACCTTGGCGCCATGACGTGCAAGGAGTATGGCTGCCGCACGACCATTGCCAATCTCGCCTTTGCTAGGGGTTAGTGTAACGGGGACAAGAATTCGGGTGCATTATGAACTGACCATCCATGCGGGAGCCTGCACCCGTGACGATTGCCACATCTCCAGTAAAGTCGAATGCTCGAGGGGGTGTCATTGTGAATTTCTTTGTGTTTAATGGAGTAGTGTTGATCCAAGAATATTTTTACTGTTGATATTTCTGGTGATGGTTCAATATCTTCGATATCAAAACGAGTTCATCTGCTTCACGAGATCAAGCAATACAGAATAAATATTCTTCACTCTTCGGCCAAATAATGAGAGATCGTCGCTCACCGCGGGCAATTGCCACTCTCTACTCGTCCAGCTTCCGGGCACTCGGCGCGGGCAAGCGCCGAACCCCTGTTCTCTGAGCTGTTGAATGCACTGTCACGAGGGCCACGGTATGCGGGGAAATGATGGGGATACCCAAACTCGGGCTTCCCCCGGAATCTCACCTGTCAATTGAGATCAGTCTCAATTCTATACTAGCCAAGCTTATCGGCTTTGCGGCTCTTAGTGGCTTGCGCTAGAAAAGGTTGATCCTCACTGAGACGTGATGGCACTGACTTGTATCTTTCTCATGACCCGAGATCCAGTGGTCACGGTGCTTGGCGCACCAATATGCTGGTCGCTGGAATCAATGCAACAGGTCAAGCTGTATCGACTATAATCACTATAGCTGCTACACGCCAAAAGCTCGACTAGGCGAGAGATCATAAACCTCTTACAATCGAGTGGACGGGCGCATTGCAAATAGCGACCTATGAAGTATAGGGGGACTGTTCTTATGCTCCACGTTCGTAAACAGCTTCAATGCAGGAGAGGTGCCACAAGTCTAAATTGCCAACTGTAACTTGAATGCCGGTGTAGTAGTCGACAGGAATCCAATTAATAGTATATTTTTCATCTACCTATCCTACAACCTCTATTGCGACAACCAATAATCGAACCATGCCACGATACCTGCCAGGCTCTGTTCCTTTACCCATCCTATTCTGCGTCAGTAGGCCTCAAGACACGCCTCAAACATGGAACTTACGTTGGTAAGGATCTTTGGGATCACCTCTCAGAGCAAATCCGTGCTCAACACGAGAAAATACTTGATAGTGAAACATCTTCTTATTAGTCTGTAGAATATCCAGCGCTCGACGTCGAGAAGGCACATCAAACGTGTGATCAACTTCCGAACATGAGAGAAATAGAGGCTCTATAGAAAATTAGCAAGACTGAGAAAGGGTTAAGAAAGAAGAGTTTACTCTTTAGGTCCGTAAAGTGATGTTCCTTGAGGAACGCTGGGTGAGCAAAAGCGCCAACTGTCACCGTATCGCCTTTCAGCTCATTGCACACATAAGGCGCTCCGAAGCAGTAGCCGACACAGGCAAACTTTGTTGTGCTTGTTCCATAGTTCTTCTTGACAGCAGCCACCCATTTGGGAACAGCAACATCTGCAAAGGCAGTGTGCTTTCGCTTCCAGGCTTCGTAGTCAAAGTCAGGATTTTGGGTATGCCGGTCCTTGCGATGCTTCCAAACAGGGTCCTGTAGCATCGTTAGTCTCCGATCTAAACACTTTATGTAGGCCTGAACTTACCCCACGGAAGTAGTCGAGCCCCAAGACTAGATAACCTGCATCTGCGAAAGCATCCATAACTAACAGCCCGTTGGGGAACATGCCCCATACATCTGGAAAGTATAGTAGGATGTTTCCGTTTGCTTTTTCGGGAGTTGGTTTTGAAATGTATGTTTCGACATCTGTGATAGTTTCCCAAGTGCCTCTTGACTCGCCCTCGTGGATGGTGCCTTTGAGACAGCAGCTTCCACTTGGCTTAGCAAGGTATGGCTCACTGGTGGCTTGTTGTGAAGATGATTGACCCATGGTGTGATAAATTGATGGTGTAAAAGGGTGCAATGAGTGTTGGAAGAGAAAAGGGGCAGTTATTCTTGACCAAGACCGTCTTCAGTATCATGCGAGTCGCTGGTTGTCAACTAAACATTTTGGTGTTCAATTAATGCCAGTGGCGTTCTCGACACACATCATCGGTTTGCAGCCGCGGAGACTCGCCGTGGGGATACTCCAGTAGTTCACCGATGATGTTCAATTGGCCAATGCCATGCGGAGTCGAACCAGGCCCCATGGGGTAAAGGCGGAGAAGTTGCAGGCTACCCCAGGTTGTGCAGATTTCTTCCTTACTAAGTGACCATGTGCTTGTTAAATACTACCCCATCTTCCCCTTGTCCAGACTCAGTCTTCAATTCAGTCATCTATCCACCCTCCCTCGACTTGACTTGAGTAATAAGACTTTCAGCAACAATGTCGGACACGCCTAAGCCCATCGTAGACTCACCTCCTAGTGTTGAGGCCATTGAGGACTCGGAGCTCAAGGATGGCCGTAACGAGATGGATGTTCATGACCGAGAGAACGCTGTTGGCTACAGCGAGTACCTTGAGGCTCGCGACATTGACTTCTCAGATGCCGAGGTACGCCCAAGACTGATACAATGCGCGACTGTTCCTGTTAACACAATTACAATTACAGGCCAAGAAGCTCCGATGGAAACTCGATCTCGTTATCCTCCCTATGTTCCTCGTCACCCAAGCGCTTCAATTCATGGATAAGACCTCTCTCAACTATGCCAACCTCTTCGGATATCAGGAGGCTCTGGGACTCAAGGGCAACCAGTTCAACTACCTCTCCGCAAGTCAGTGTTCACCGACCTTCCCTCAAGCCCTGCGACTGCTAATACCGGAATACAGTGGTCTATGCAGGTTACTTCTTTGGTCAATACCCTTGTGGGTGGCTCATCGGTCGCTTTCCTGCTCAAAAGGTCATGGCTATCAGTGTCTTCCTATGGGGTCTCATGGTCATCATCATGACTCAGAGCCGCGACTATTCAAGTGCTCTGGCTGTGCGGTTCATCATGGGTGTTTTTGAGGCTGCCGTCACACCTGGTTTGACACTCATGACTGGTTTCTGGTATACCCGACGAGAGATTCCACTTCGCCAGTGTATTTGGTACTCATCTCTGGGATGGGGCGGTATTGTAAGTCACGAACGGGCTCTGGCGTCCAGAGTCGTTTTGCTAATAACTGGACTTATATAGGTTGGGTCATACATCTCTATGGGAGTTTCCAAGCTTCCCGTCGACCTCAAGCCTGAGCGGTGGGAGCTAATCTTCTACATCGTAAGTCACCATTACGTTTAACATCCTTAGGACATGGCTAATCTGTCTACAGCTCGGCGGCGCCACTTGTCTTTGGGCTTTCGTCATCTGGTTCCTCCTCCCCGATTCGCCTTCCAACGCACGATTCCTCAACCACCGCGAGCGTCTGATTGCAGTCAAGAGAGTCGCATCCAATGAAACGGGTATCAAAAATAAGGCATTCGATAAGGATCAGGTCGTCCTTGGCTTCACTGATCCCAAGACTCTTCTGCTCTTTACCTCGGTCTTTGCTGCGTAAGTCAAATCATTGTCACAACAAAGGATTGGCCTTTTGCTAACACATGATTCACAGCGCCATCCCTAATGGTGTCGTCAACTCCTTCTCGACCATCATCATCCGCGACATGGGATTTAGCACCACCAGAACTACTCAACTGAAGTCTGTTGGAGATGCTGTCCAGATTATCGGCTTGATCATTGGCGGAAGCATCATTCTCAACGTTCCTAACTGTTAGTCAAACGACGTTTATGAAGCACGCAACTAGTAAGCTAACAATAACCAGCTCGGCTGCTTACTGCTACGGCTGCCAACATGCTTTGCACAATCTCTGCTGCATGCATGGCCTACCTTCCCCGTGATAACACTTGGGGCCGACTTGTATGTTTCTGGCTGGTCAACACCCAGTCTGTTGGCTTCACTGTGTCTCTGACCACCATATCATCCAACATGGCTGGCTACACTCATCGATCTCTTGCTAGTGCCCTGGTCTTGTAAGTCTTTCATCAATGAACCTTTGAAGCCTGACTAACATACTGCGCCAGTACTGCCTACTGTTGGGGCAACTTTGCCGGTCCCTTCGTCGTAAAGAAGTCTGAGGCTCCTCACTTCACTGGTGCCACTATTGGACTTCTAGTAGGCTACGCTATCAAATTTTGTTGCCACCTTGGTCTTCTTGGTAAGTGGCCTAGCGATCCAGCACGGGAACTTCGGCTAACCCTTTGTCCTTAGTGTACATGTACCTTATCAACAGACACCGTAACAAGACCTATGGTCCGCCCAATAAGGAGCGTAGTAACGAGGCTGGTATGCGGGATCAGACCGAGTTTGAGAACAAGGATTTCCGATATGTTCTGTAGTGTTGGATCTGCCCATGGTAGCAAGAAGAACCCCCAGACTTTGACAGATAGTTGTATAACACAACGGGAATAGAATACGCTAATGACCCTCGCCTCATGTCTCACCCTCAACTCGTGTCTTTGCTCTCAAGTTTGTAAGATAAACTCACCCCCTAGTGGCATAGATCAAGGCAAACAGGCCAGAGATGAACACTGCCTGATAGCCCATATTTTATATGTATTTTTCCAGATACATGCAGGCACACGTCCATGGTTATTTGGTCTCCGTCCCGCCTGAAGCATCACCATGATTGTCTGGGCGAATTGCGTGGCTGTGATGTCGCCTTTGATCAAAAATCACACGGCTAGAAAGTGTTACACTCGGGAAGGTTCTCTAATACTGTAAATCTTCCACCAAGAAACTGAAAGACACTATTGGCTCAAATGACTACTCCAAATTGTGAACTCATATTGACTTGCTAACCATGAGTCGGAGTCTAAGCGAAGGTGAAATTGCAACATGTCCGTGGTATTATATGCGTATCTACTCATGTATTGCGCGCGTTCGGCAGATGATTGATACAATTTGGTACGCGAAAAGACCCTTACTTCTTGAACTCTCGAGCAATCTGACCAACATCCGTCATGTTGGCGATCCCAGTAAAAGCGCTCAAAGCCTTCTTTGCCCTATCTTCTCCAATCAGGTTACCAACATGATCCAAGAACTTGGTATGGAGGAACTTCTCATCAAGAGGATTCTCATAGCTGCCAATCGTGTGCTCAACATGAACCTCGAGCTTCTTGCCGTTCTCAAACTCAACAGCAACAAACGCCTCATGCTCACTGACCTTGTCATCACTTGTAACATTGACCTTCTGGCGGAGTTCAATGACAGTCTTGTTCTGCACAGCCTCATCAGTGAATTGAGTTGGGGTAGCTTCACCGAAAAGGAGTGCAACGGCAGCTGCGTGATAGACGCTGAACTTGCCCTGCAGACCTGTCTCGGGCTTGGGATCATCAGTCAGAAACAAAACGCGGGGGTGAGTACGGGCTGTGACGTTGGCGATCTTGGTGAAGTCGAGACTGTCCTTCACTGCCTTGTCGTGGATCTGGATCCAGCCATCGATGGCAGCGTGGATGATCCTATCGCAGGGGTATGGCTTGAATGTGTTCCTGGAGATCTCCCAAACTTCGCCAAGGGTGGAGATCTCAGCAGTCAGATTCTCACGAGTGCTGACAACATGAGACCAGCCCCTCTTAGCTTCCAAGCCTTCAAGAGAACCGCCAAAGCCATTCTTAGCGAGCAATGCTGATTGGAGACCTGCTTGTGCTGCGGCCCCAACATGGAAAGGTTTGGTGTCTGTGCCGAAGGACTCGTGCATACCAATGGCCTGAACGGAGGCTATGCTGATAGCTCTCTGCATTTGCTCAGTGTCAAGTCCAAGGAGCTTTCCGACGGCAACAGCAGAGCCAACCGAGCCAACAGTACTGGTGATGTCTGATGACCGTCAGTATGGTCACCTCCAAGAACAATGATTAGGTTCACTTACGCCATCCAACATTGTAATGCTCAGGAAAAACAGCAACACCAATCTTGCACTCCGCTTCAACACCAGCAACGAAGGCCGCCAAGAAATTCTCGCCTGATACAGGTGCCATCCACTCCGCAACAGCAAACAGAGCAGACAACACAGGTCCAGAGGGGTGAATAGGGTTATCGCGGTGGGTATCATCATAGTCATCGGCGTGAGAGGCGATACCGTTGATGAGAGCTGCGGTCTTAGCATCAACGTACTTTCCAGTACCAAAGATGGAAGAGTTTCCATCGGCTCCGATGAAGGGGGCGTTGGCCTCGTATGCAATACCTGCTGGAGGTAAAGCATAGCCGCCGATGGCACAGCCGGCCCAGTTGTAGACGCTCTTGACGGCTATGTCAACGATTGGCTCGGTGAGGTTGCCAAACTGAAGGGCTAGAGCCCATGTTGCTAGAGCCTTGGTAGCCATGGTTGGTTTGCGAGTGATGCTTGTCTCGAGTGTCAGTTGTGATAACCCAACACTTGTAGGGCATATCTTGATAGCATTTATACTTCTCCAGAACCCCGTCCCTCTACTCAAAATGTCTAGATCATGAAGGATCTACATTTCACTTGCTTCATTCTTACCCCGCGGGTAGAACGGCACTGTGTTCAGTGATACTGCGCGGTGTAACCGTCTCCAGTCCATATTGTGGAGGTCATCGTGACTCTGGACCACTGTTAACCTAGAAAAGTGATTGTAATCCATGGCAGATCAATGCTTGGAGATGCTGATATCCAAGTTTACGGAGTATACAAGTACATTGACCTCAAGGCAGCACGAAGTAGTGCCCGCGCTCGTGTATTCCTACTTCTGAGAACGAAGTCATGCTAGCGTAGTTTAATTGATGCTTAACGTCAAGAACTACCCCAGATGTACTAAGCCCCGCATTCTAGAAGTAAGCTCTAGCCTAAAATCCTTGTTTTTGTGATGATCTCAATGCAGTTGAACTGGTCCGGTCGAGGGCCCGCGGCGAGCGACCGAGGAAAGTGACCGGCCGGCAACCGCCAATGTCACGGAAGGATACATGGCATTCTCCGGCAGAATTGGTCGACACTGCGATAGACCCCGTGGATTACATGTAGTACATCGTCATTTGTTGGTGATGAGTCGTCATGGAGGTCTATTTGCCATTCTGGGTGTATAGGCATCGTCCATATCCCTGTCCGAGTCCAAATCTATGTCGATGACGACAATAGGCTTCTTTTCTTCCCTAACATCATTAACATGCAAAGGCCGAGAGGAGTGTTGCGGACTCGCTACCCTTGCTGGCGGCTGTGATGGAGGAAACGTAGCGCTCGAGGTTTTGCCAGGCTCAGGGTTGGACTGATGAGAGGAGGCAACTGATGACTCCTTTATTGAGAGGCCTGCCGTGCATGGTCTTGATGTTGATTGGAATGCTATTGCGAGGAATATGGTTAGTTCTGCTGTGCTCGAGATATTGTAGGATCGTAAGGATGGTGAGTATTATGCCCCTGAGGATAACTGTAATGATGGGAAGGTTTTGAAGATGCTTGGTTGTAAGCCTCGGGACCAGTAGGCTCGTGCGAAGGCTCACCTAGGCTTTCTATCCATGAATTAGGCGTTGTATGGGAAAGGTGGTGTGTTGAGTACATGTCTGAGTATTGAGATACAGAGGTTGCAGTTGCTGGGGAACGTGACGTTGTCGGGGCTGTTGTGAATCTAGGAAACAACGCAGAAGACTGCAGTGGCCTGGTCGATGGTGGTTGGCTATACGAGTGCTTCTGCTCCGTGGAATTTGGTTCAGCATGCGTTGGTCTATTATGATGTTGACCAGAAGCTGATGGATATGGAGGCTGTGCCGGTGCTTGATACTCAGTTGGCGTGGGCACTGGAGGAGGATGCAATTGCTATGCATACGGTGATGCGAGTTGATACCGAGATTATGTATACACATTAGAGTCCTGGGTTTGTTGCGGCCTTTGATAACGAGCATCAGGTAACCATCGTGCAAAACCTGCTTGTCATAGCCGAAGTAATCCCATGCTATGGCGCTAACATCAACAAGACCCCAAACCCTGACCGCATTGGATGTATTTTCGCACTTATTTGAAACATGATAATAAACAGCATGTATGTATAATGTAATTATTTACGCTGAGAAAATCATTGATGCGGAAATACGGCCCAAACCTGTCCATGCACCTTTACTCCCTTTGTTCCGCGGTTCCTAGTTACCGCAAGTGCGCGTGAGCGAGAAATCGTCGGTACCGATAATAATAGTGTTGAAGGAGCCCTGGCACTGTACTGACACGGACAGGGTAGCAGGCGAGCCCTGATCTTGAGCGGTGAAAAACTGGCTTGAGAACCTCTGATCGTAGGGGCCACTGTCGGTCAGGGTGGCGCTGGACTGGAGGGTCTGGCCGTTGATGCTGGGAGTCAGCTGGCAGGAAAAGCCGCGGCCTTGGATGGCAGTTTGCAACTTGAAATAGTAGTCCAGCCGGTACAGGTACGGGCCAAGGGCGGGGAGAGACTACGAGAAAGTGGTGCGTGTGCGGCCTTGGTTTATCGTGTTGTAACTAGTTCACAGAACGGTCTGTTTCGGATACTTGGTTGTGGGATTTGGGACTTACAGAAAGTTGGGGGCCGAGCGGGGGTCTATTTGAGAGACCGTGACTCCAGCACCAAGGACCCATGGGGATCCATCGTTGTTGTCGTCAAAGCTGGGGTTGACGAGGATTTGAGTCTCAACGCAAGGACCAGGTCCAGCAGCGGTAGTGGTAGTGGGCTCGAGCGTTGCACTCGTCGCAGCGCTCGTGTCGGTCGCAGATTCGGTGATGGTACTCTCGAGAGCATCGGTAGTCTCTGTGGAGCCGGTGGCAGGCTCGGTGACAGTTGTTTCGAGAAAATCGATGGTATCAGTGACATCGGCAGTGATTATCGAGGATGTAGTCTCGAGAGTTGTCGGAGTGGTTTCGACAGCAATCGTGGAGGACAAAGCGACCGAGGAGTACGGCTTGCAAGGCCCAGCGTTGACACCAACACTGAGGACAGTGGCCGCCAGAACAACGAGAATTCCGTGACGAGCCATCATGAAAAGAGGTAAGATGTGGACAGCGCCAAGCACAAATACAATTAGATATACAGGTACAGACAATAGATTCCCAGACCATTCGAAGATGGGGATCCGGACCTTTTATTAATGGGTAATTAATGGTAGCACGCGCTGAAGAATCAACGCTATACCTGAAATGTTGACCTCTAGCGTGCGCTATAGTCAATTGTTCGGTGGTTCAGCTGCAGAGCTGAGCTCATGCTTAGTTGCTTGCCGCTGAATCACAGGTGAATTGCGAGTGTTGGAGGCGGGAGGGAGGCGCGGATACTGCGCGAGGACCGTGGACCCGGTGTTGAAAAGCACGGGAAGGATTTTGAGAATTGCTTTTTTTATTCTGAGTCTTGATTTGATGGATCGTGATATGTGACTTGGTCTTTTGATTCGGTATGGGTAACGTCCCAGGGGTATGATAAATAGAAGAGATCAGCGCTAAGCTGAGATTAAATTGATGCGTTGGGATGGTGATCTCAAAAAAGACTGGGCCATGAATGAGATCTATACAGACGAAACGGTAAGAAAAGAGCAGCGAAGGCTATGACTCATGCACATTGGACAGTGGCAAGAGTTCTTACTCTGAATATATAAAGCTTCCAATACAAAATATAAGTAGAGAGAACCCTTTATTTGGTTGGCATTCAATGAGTCGTCACTGTCAGTTGGTGCCGAGACAGACGGTATCAATGCGTCTCGAATTTTCAGTAACAGGATAACAAACAGACAAAGAAAAACAGGACGGAACAACGCCAGGACCACGATATTATGACTTATTTTATATATTTTGTATAAATTACTATGTTTTCATATTTATGTTTATGTTTATTTTATATCTTATAACTCTATTACTTTAAACTTTACCCCTGCTATTAAATGCCTTGTTTTACCTGATTTTGCTTTACTTTACTTTATGTATTTAACAAGTCTTTTATATTTGCCGAAGTATGCTGATTTTAAGAGATCGCAGACTCCGAATCCTCACAAACTTAAAACGCGTTCGGTTTAGAAGATTTGTGCGTTTGGATGCACATCCTTAACACGGGCTATCTTTCAAGGCATCCTCTTCATCCTTTTCTGGAGTCCATCGGTTTTCATTGTAAAGTGGATAGGGCTGCTGAAGATGGTTCGTTGGGGCATTCACTTTATTCATAAAGCAACTATTATACAGTAGGTAGCAATTCCTGCTTTCAAGCCGGCTCGATATATAACTGGTCTTTCTATGACGATGTCTCTCATACTCCTGTCATTGACTTCAGTGGCTCAGCAACAGAAAAAGGAGCTTCGGTCTTAGCCTTAACCTCATCCACAGTGACACCATGAGCGATTTCAACCAGCGTCAAACCCGTCGCAAAGTCCACATCAAACACTCCCTAAGAAGACTTAGTATACTTCAAGAGCGGTACCTCGCGTGTGACGTACCAAATCTGTGATGATGCGCGATACGCACGCCCGGCCTGTGAGGGGAAAAGAACACTGGTTCAAGATTTTGGGATTACCCTTCTTGTCTGTATGTTCCATGGTGACAATGACCTTTGTCTTGGTCGGGTTGCTAACAAGGTCCATCGCACCTCCAAAGCCTTTGACCTTTCCTGGGAGCATCCAGTTCGCCAAGTCGCCTGTTGCGCTGACTTGCATGGCGCCGAGAATGGTAACATCGATACGGCCACTACGGATCATGCCGAAACTTTCGTCGCTACTGAAAACAGATGCGCCAGGCTTCAATGTGACTGTTTCTTTGCCAGCGTTGATGAGATCTGGATCAGCTTCGTTGCGCTCTTTGGATGGATATGGCCCGAGACCTAAAATACCATTCTCCGATTGAAGCTGTACATCAACATCAGGTCCAACAAACGAGGCTGCCAGCATGGGCATACCGATTCCAAGATTTGCGTACATCCCATTCTTGAACTCCTTCGCTGCTCGTCGGACGATACGCTCTCTCTTTGCAGCAACCTCGCCCTGACCCAAAGTCTTGATGTCTTGCTCGGCCCAAGTATACTTTTCAATGCCTTTCTCCGCAGTGCTTTCGATGACTCGCTTCACATAAATGCCCGGCAAATGAACTGACTCTGGGGGAATTTCCCCAGGTTCGACGATATGCTCGGCTTCAACGATAGTCATCGTAGCATTGCGACCCATTGGACCGTTGAAGTTCTGGGCTGCAAGACGAAACTGACAGTTTCCCAACTTATCTGCCTTGAAAGCCTTTACAAAGGCGTAATCACCTGTGATGCTGCTTTCAAGCAGATATGGCTTGCCGTCGAAGACCTTGACATCTTTGGGATTTGGGAACTTCGCATCGCCAGAAGACCCAATGGGTTTGTTCCGAGACGGGAGGTCGCCATTTTGAACAACAGTTCCGACGCCAGCAGGCGTATAGAAAGCCGGGATGCCTTTACCGCCCGCAGCACAGCGTTCTGCAAGGGTGCCTTGAGGCGTAAGTTCCAGTTCAATGTCGCCTGTAAGATACATCTTCTCGAAAGTCTTGTTCTCTCCGATATAAGATGCAACCATCTTGCGCACTTGTCTACTTTTCAAGAGCTTTCCTAGGCCGAAGTCATCAGTTCCAGCATTGTTAGAAACAGCTGTTAATCCGGTGACATCAGGCTTGTTGAGGACTTCGTTGATGAGCGTGTCTGGGACACCACAAAGACCAAAGCCGCCACATAGAAGCGTCGTATTTGGTCTCATATCCTTCAGCGCCTCTGCAGCCGACGAGATAACCTTGTTGATGCCATGGCGGCTGATAGAGATGGAGAAAGATCTTATAAGCAAAGCATTTGCCTACACGATTCAGCTGTGAAACTTGGTGGCATGATGAGACGTATGCGAAGGGAAGGCAAAGTATCAGGAAGTCGACTTACTTGAGTCGCATGCTTGAGCATGGTTCGGGGCCGCATGGACACGAGTCTTGATGCCATTGTCTCAATATAAGATTCCCTGAGAATGTAAAACTCAGGGCTGGCCTCTAACAGACTGCTGTTGTCAAGTTACTCAGAAGACGACTTTCAAAGGCCGTATACGTCAACGAGGCTGTATTTCTAGTTTCATTCTGCCTAGTAAGTATCAAGAGCTCAGCGGTGGAGTAACTCTACTGGAGGCTTTCGGGAGCTGGCCGCGGAAAGTGGCCGTCGTCACGCTAAAAGTCAACCACGAGGTTTTTGAGCACTTTTTGGCTAGCAAAGACCGGAGAGGGAATAATGTGTCTAATGTGAAAGATATTTTCGTGCCTCTGATATGGTTGGGCGCATGCACATGTCAGACGACGGAACTAGACACAACCAACATGATCTGTCAATTCTTTCAGCTCAGATACAGCCACTGGGGAATATGTGATATTCTTGATAGGTTTTAGCTATGGTATAGATATTTCCCTGATTTGAATAGCTATTTGTCAATAGAACATTGTTCGCATGGCCTAGCTCTACTAGTCATCTTCTTCTATCTCATCGACCTTAACACCATTCAATCCTTTGAGTTTCTCGATACAATCCTTAGTCACGGGACTTAAGAGAGTTAGCGACAATATGTAAAGACAGCTCGGTTAATGGCAACATACGGAGGAATTCCCATGGGAGGGATAGATCTGGTCTCAATCCAAAACTCAACGCCAGTGTCGTCCTGGATGAGCCTAGAAAACTCTCGTTAGAATGATGAAGAGTATTTTACGATGGACTGCTTACTTTTTGAGCTGGGACTCAGATGCCTGCCACTCATCGTAGCCGAGGTAGGTGTAGCGGATTTTCTGTGCGTCTTGTTAGTAGGCATGAGAGGAGAAGGAGAGTTCTTAAGTACCGTCTTATCAGCCATGATGAATGTAGAAAGAAATCTCTTTGGAGTGATAGAATGTTTGAGTGTTGATGTTTGCTGTGGTTGAGAGGAAGCTGGGATGAGATAAATTTGAGAATCTTCCTGACCCTTTATACTTGAAAGCTATCAGCACCACCGCACTCGAGATTGTCAAAAAATGGAACTTTTGGTTAATAGCAGGCCCTTTCCAAATCGCTTTCAGCTTTTGTCGATCATGAACAGATGCGTTTCGGCATTTCATCCACAAAGACTAATTACCGCTGCGGGATCTACCGTTTGCAGAGACTATCGATTGTTTCCGTCGCTATGAATTGCCGATCAAACTCAATCTGCAACTCCATCTTACTCTACATTCAGCTCGAATCCACAGTATTAAAGCTTAGAAAATCTTCTAACCGTTTCATTGGATATTTACCACTCATTTTACTTTCGGGGATCGACACGGCACGGACGGCAGATCGGATTGTTACGTGTCAAGCCGTCACACATGAAAGTTTAATCGATGTCATACCTTTCACATGTCTCAATTGCGATAAAAAGGACTCGAAAGTGAATATTAAAACGTATTATCATTGACCACCTGCTAAAGGGAAGCGCTAAGGGTATCGTGGGACAGAGAAACAAGTTTTCTCCCCGCCTCGTAACTATATCTACACTAACTTTTTATGACATGGCCAAGTCGGGCCTATGCAAGGTCTGATCCTCGAGTTTGGACAACAGTCTTCTTGACCAACACATTCCATCCTTTTTGGGCACGTGGTTGACCATTGGCATCGGCCAGATCTGACTGGCTGCTATTCCAGCCATGGAGCTCAGCGACAGAGTCAGAAGCTTCTGATCTGCTTCCATTCTTGCCTGTTTCGCCATTGCCATCTGACTTGTCGTCGTGGTCGATGATGGTAGTGACTCCAATACGCTTGCCAGCATTGTCGTGGAGATCGAAAGCTTCCTCGCCGTTCTGGCCGTGGCTGCGAATGTAGCCTCCTGTTGGATGGTTACTACCTGTTCGCTGCCAAGGCCTAGCTGAGTTTCCCTGTCCATCTGCAGATGATCCATGACCAAGGAAGCTACGGAGGAGAGGTCGGAGTGTTGCAACAGCTGAGGCAGTGATACCAAGACCAGTCTCAACAGTGGACCAGATAGCGACATCTGAGGTAGAGTATAGGAAGTCGTCGATGTCGGTGAGGGAGTAGAGGTAAGGGAAGCGGATGATGGTTGCACTAGAGGCACTGTAATCAAGGTCAGTAAACTATTTCGGCGGGTAGAGGAGTGTTGACACATACATAGCACCTGCAGCCAGAATACCGACAACAGATATCTTTGTTCTTCTGCTCATCTGAAGATTATAAACCAGAGCAATGGGTAGCAAACTATAGGTCCAATCGGACAAACAGCTGATAGCGGAGTAAGCATAGAAGGCCTTGGCAACCACCGAGGCGTCCAAGCAACTACCTCCAGGAGGATTGCTGGTATACCGGAGCCAGAAGAGTGATGTAGGTCGACATTGCAGAACAAACAGCAGGAAGAAGAACAAGCTGTAGATTTCTGTGATGCCAGTAATGGTCCAGATGATAATCTTGTGTGTACGTGTAATGCAAATTCGCAACAAGAAGATAGCAATACTGGCCTTGATGGCCATGTTGGTCAAGACGTAGGTTGGTTCGCATGTCCACCACATCTGCATCGCCCTGGGGATATTCTCCGGCTCGATGTCCTTGAAGTGACGTCCAGTTCCATATCGGACACCAGTGATCTCATAGGAGCAAAAGACGATAAACATAAACTTTCTCGGTTAGCAAGGTCTTACCAATAGGGGGGAATGCGTCCTACCTGGGCAATGACGGCAAGCCAATCATCCGCGCCAAACGCCTTGACAACCCATCCTCGGCAGTAGACGCGGAGACATGTCGCAATCGATGAGAGGATCACAAAAGTATAACCGATCGCAGCAATCTGCGTCGCCCGACTCTCGATCGCCATGGTGTTGAACTCGTGTGGCAGAGAAGAAAGAATGAAGAACAGGGTGCAGCGGGTGGACTCTCTCTCCTAACCGAGCGAGCGGGCAACACCCCATCGACTATATATGCAGACATGGTAAAACACCACTCACTCGCCACGAGTCTCCGGACAACAATCCAGACCGGGATAGTTTCGTCTGTGGAGTGCAGGAGATGGAGACAAAAGGGGATTCCTGTAACAGACTACCAAAGCGGCTTGACCAGGAAAACACGGCAATGATTTGCGTCTTATCTGGATACATCTTAGCTCAATCTTCATGACGGGGAGGCTAGCCCTGCTTGTGTTGGCGCAGCCAGAAAGTCGGGAACTTTGAGTCAGGGAGCTTCGGACTTGGGCCAATCTGCCATGAGGAAAAACGCTCTGACAGGGCGCGACAGGTTTCTAGTTCTCGGAGCGCGGTTCCATAGAAATCTCGCCCCGGGGTCTAGGAGATTGGCTAGACTGTTAATAAATGTGTTATTCCGGTAATAGCGTCGGAGAACCGGATGATCTGCTTTGTGTTGGCCGAATGAGGTCAAGTGGCGATTTGTGCCTGGACCTTTGTTACACAAGGAAAACTCTGCGCGTAGTGGGCCTCGGGGAACCCACAAAGGGTATAATCTCGAGAATAAGGGGAAATGATTTATTTACCTGATGGCTCCCAACAATTACTCAGGCCTCCCCAGGCCTGGAGATTACACAGTGGGCTTGAATGAAGCCATTTAAGTGGCTGTTTCGCTTCCAACGGAAGCAATGCTGGACGTTTTTAGGTATGTAGATCGTAGTGGTAATCAATGTCTGTGAGCTGCATCGTAGATCCTAACAAAAGAGATCGAGCATCTCGGGAATTTCATAGGCGCGTCTGGCGATCATTCACTTGGCCGAAACGCCTGCATGTTAAGGCTGTCGAGCACAATTCAACGTCCTTGGCATCCCTTAAGAATGCTTCCAATAGTTTAACGCCCATCGCATGATGAGTGGATCATAGCTTTGACTCAGGCACTCTTAAGCTTAATCCTAAGGCTCTGTCATGAGGCGAGCTGAGCAGCTAGTAATTGTGACTGATCATAGGGCCGATGTTTTAGCTGTTATTATGGTCTCAAAGCAGCATGAAAGCTGTCCATCAGTATCTGCAGTGAATTGCCTGATCAGTGAGTTGGCATTCCAGGGCCGTTTTGGCGAGTCATGAATTGACCAATGAAAAACGTTTCGGAGTCTTGCCTAACATGGCTTCAGAGTAAACGCTCCAAGCGTCAACTCTATATCCGACGTTTTATTGAACTGAGCACTGACTGTGGCTTGCCTGCCACATGGTTTGTTGGAACAATACGAACGTTGAAGAGAACAAGACCAATCCGAGTCATTCATCTTATCTGCTTGAACCATTGTCAAAGCTGAAGTGGGTTATCAGGCGCGAAGGGTTCGTGGCTGCTTGGCACTCGTGCGGAGTGAGGTTCTAGAAATTGGCGTATTTGCCAAGAAAGTTTTGAGACCTTAATTGATCTTGACCAAGGCAGGTCTAACTTAATAGGCACGTTCGCTAACCCTGCGAGGGAGGCTCATCGTCAAAGCGGCCTCGACCCAAAGCAACTCCACCTAGCCACTTCGTGATACCCCTACCCTAGAACAGAGGGCTTGCAAGTCATTACTCCATTTTAAGAACACGTTATGTTACCGTATTGGAGAGATTTTTTCCGATTGTCTCCTGAAAGGAATCTATAATCTATAAAACCCATCGCTTTGCAGGCAACATCACAATCCAGGAACGCGGAAACTAGGCTTGTCGCTTTTTTACTCTCGATTGAGTTGTTGAGCGCTTATCGCTGCCCTTTGCAACAAGTCTCGCTTACAACCAGCACATTTACTTTCATTCGTGGGTATTTTGATGCTCAGCAAACGCAGATATGATTCTGTTGTGATGTGCACTAACATACACCTATTTCTAAAGCTTGTTCTGCGAAATCTTTCTCAGCGTCTCTAGTGGCGACGTCTCTGCCAGAACAGTAGCATAAGAACCAAATCGCACGTGCACAGCCTCCTTTGGCTTTGGATCCCAGCAGTAAAAACGCCCAGTAGACCTCATCTTTTCCAGGTCCACAACGACAATTGATTCAACAGGCATAACTGTTTCAGTCCAGAACAGCATGTACAAGTTGTCTCGCAGCTTGAGCATCTGGCACTTCTCAGCATCTGCGATGCCCCTCTCTGTGCCGCTGAGACAATGCCAGGTCATAGTACCCTTGTTGAGATAAACGTGCTCATAAGCATCTCGGGGAGTGTATCGGTACAGAACGTGTTTTCCAATGAGTTCATCAGTGGCTGGGAATGGTTCAACAGGCTTCCCTCCGAATGCGACTGCGTTGATGAAAGAGGTAAATGTTCTGCGTTCACCATTCTCGTCCTTGAAGCCTGAAACACCAGCAATAGCTTGTCCAGTGACGGTATCGACGATCAAGCTGACGACTTCATTGTAGTCAGGCTTGAAGAAGTCGACGAAGAAGATATCTGGTCGCACTTCGAAAGCCTCGTACTTGGCTGGTGCAGTAAGACCTGTTCCTTCTCCCTCGAGGATCTTCCACGTGACGGTATCCGCACCAAAGTCATGAGAAATCTTCCAACCATTGTCATAAGTATGTTCAAAGTATTTGCCCTGCAGCTTGTTGGATGCTGGCATGAGGTGCTCTCTGAAGCCATCGGCCATTTCCTGGAGGGTTGGCCATTTAGCCACCGGGACAAAATCTGCCATCTCTGAAGTAGCTGATGGAACCATGTTGACTAGTAAAAGAGGCTTAAAGAGTAAAGAATATGAAATGCCGACTCTATAACTTTTTATAGCGTTGTTAAGAGAATGGTGTGTTGAGGGTAGAAACTTGTTTTAGATAGTCGATTCATTTGAGGAGAGACGACGCCATCTTTATAGTACATCGTTGAGCACCATACTGGTTGATCATTCAGCAAAGTCTCCTAAATCTACACTTGAATATCGGCTACCCATCACTGTTGAATTCCGTAAATTCCGTAAAGCTTTTGATACAGTAGTCCTATCAAAAACGGAGCTTCCCCGCATTATCGTCAAGATCTAGGCACCATCGATTACAACCTTTCCGCTTACAGAAAAAAAGTGCGAGGTCCCCACTTGTAGCTGTCTTTTGCGTGCGGAGAAGCATCTTGGAAACTCTCTTCCAAGGGTCTCGACGGCCTTTTTCGTTGTCATTCAGCCGGTAACCGAGATAGCTATGACAGAGGATGATAAGCCCTGGCTGCCTTCGGACTTTGATGAGACCGAAAGTCCTTGACTCATGATGCATTCCCATCCTCCGACTCTCCGAGCTTTGCATGTACAACTACTTTCTCGGACTTTCATGGTACTGTATGAGAAGAGTACGAAACGAACGGGAGAATGGTCAGCCTACCAAGAGGGCTAGAAAGGGACACAGTCAATTTCCTAGTACTATCCTAGAATGGTCTCCAGTCCAGCTTCTGTCATAACATCAATCCAATGCACTAACAAAATTGGACTCTTGTCAAAGGATGTGGAATCAGGCGCCTCAATAGCCACCGAATCCATCCGCGCCCAGGCCCCTTGAAGCACAGTAGATACCCTATTAATCGTCTGAAGTTTGAGAGACAAGAATGAGTTGTGCAGCCTCCCAAGCACAAATCTCCTCCAGCCTGCAACTAACACTTTGATATTGGTGTCTGCATTTGAACTGGATCCAAGTGCACTTCCTGCTGCTAAAATTATGATGGTCTGAATGGCAATGGTTCGGGAATCCTCCGGAATAGTGTTGATGATTTCTAGAATCTTCACAGCAAGCTCTAAGATATGCTGCGAGAGCAAACTATCCTGGGTTTGATCATTCTGTAGGCCTTGTGTGAGTTCGGGGAATGCCCGGTCAAGCTCAAGACGAGCAACCAGTTGATAGCACTTAGCTATCTTACAGAGATGATCTGGCGGAGTCCTGTAGTCGCCAGTATCCTGTATCTCTGCAGGAGTTGGTATTTGGCATTGGTCTATGTCTAGACTTAGAGTGAAAGCTTGAGTGAGTAAATCGACGCTGCGGCTTGATACGTCTATATCACCCCCCATTGAATAATTGTATGAAATCAGACGTCGTCTCTGCCGTACTATTGTCATGCATTTGGCGAGATGGATCAAAATATTTGTGCCAACTCCGGTCCATGGACACGGATAACAAAAGGTCGTAGGTGGTAGAGCGGAGAACACGTCGAGGTATGAAAGTGCGCCAACCTCTTGATCAATCAAGCAAGAGGCCATAACTTCCCAATAGACCATTGATGAAGCTATTAAGCGTTGGATGCGGTGAGATGGCAACTGAAGGTCCATGAGGTCGAATTGGTTCATCCAAATGCTGAATACTTGTCGAGCACCATGAAAATGGCACAGGCCGAGAGAAGAAGGATCGTGCCAGCTCTGTAAGTTCAGATGTAAGCCTTGTAAAATCATTATTGAGTAAGGACACCTACAGAGGTCATGCCAATGAGAGTGATACCTAACATCAAGTCATCTCTTATCGTTGACGCCGTTGAGGTGCGAAGAGGAGCCAATCTATGTTGGGTAACATGTATTTCGGCGAGCTCCCTCGATATATGTGAAATAGCTTCCGTCTGGAAAGTCAAGGGTATCAAAGATGTGTCTTGTTCTTGCTGGCTTAGATGGGCCGCCGACACACTCAAGGCACTATTGAACACAATGGGGGAGTTCCGTATAAATTCTAGCAGATCCGAACGATAAGGGTTGTTAGGTGAGTCAAAAGATGACAGGACCTGACATGCTGATGCGAAGTAGTGTGTTAAAAGCTTGAAGGACTCCTCCTGCGGGGAGTACAGTACAAGGGCATTGTCGGTGTCAGATGGAGAAGATGGTGAATCGCCAATGCCAGGCGAGTGCCTTGAGCTGGGGCCAGCATACGAATGGATGCCATAGTCAATCTCGTATTTGGTCGACCATTTTACTGGACGTTTATAGCCAGGGCATAACAGATTTGATTTGACGCAACGAGTACAAGCAGGCTCTGCTTCATCGCATTTCAACTTCTGCGGTAGCGTTTAGCAAGCTATATATGAAGTAATCGAAGGTAAGGATATTAGACCCACGCGTTTCTTACAAGTAATGCAGCCGCCTTCGCATTCCAACAACATTAGCTGAGGTAAGGTAGACAAGGTGGTAAAGTCTCATAGTCAGACTCACTCCTCAATTTCTGCCGCCTTCGGATCGATGCCGCAGAAGCAGTAGACTGATCCATGGAGAGCTGCCCACCCTAGAGATGTGCAATAAGATCATTGCCTGATGAAATCGGAGTCATGCAGGGGATTTCCCATACTTAGCAACTTGACTAACAGACCCTGGTAGCTTGTCAGCAAGATAAGAAGGTTGTCCAAGACATGAGATAGGCGAACAGTCGGAAACCGGAAGTGGGGTTCCGCTGATAAAAGTCATGTGGTTATCAATTGGTTGGCTGGGATTGGCTAGATGTCCTGGACACCCAGTCACCTAACCAAATCTTACCTCATCAATTTGGCGAGATAACAGTAAAACAGCACCAGGGCCAGTCCGGATGAAGAGTCTAACGGCTTATCACAACAATGAATCACAATCACTGCCAGAATTACTAAGTGAGGGATTGTGCTTTGAGATAGTAAGTAATCGTTATATATTATCATACAGCCGGTGATTAGCAGATATGGTCCGGATCTATCAAAGGCCGGTATCGCATTCATCAAAGCAAACTAGTGTAGTGTTCCCTCTAAAACTTCGGCATCTGTCAGTGGACCAACATACCGCTTGCTAACCCTCAGAGGCCAATAGAAGCAGCCAAACACCAGCGCACCACCCAATACAACAGGTGCATAATTCATGTTCACCGGAGTGATTGGCTGAAAAGGAGGGAAAAGAAGGAAGATGCAGGTATACATGAGATAAATAACGGCAATGACGTTGATAGGTAGGCCTGCTCTGCCGAGTCTCCAAGGACCCCAGCGCAAGGTATCCGGGCGGAATAAGCGCCGCCAGATCAACAGAAGGATTGGAAGGAGGTATGAGGCCTGTAGACTAACTACAGCAAGGGATAGGATAGCATTGAAGGCTGTCGTAGAACCAATGTTGATTAGACTCAGCAGCATAAGCAGGAAGCTGACAACGACGATGGATACGGTGGGGATTTGTCGACGTTTGTCAACGCTTGCAATACGCTCAGCGAAGGGGAGACCTGTGTAATTGTAATATTAGTCATGTGTAACTCAAAATGATCAAACTGGCTTACCTCCATCTCTAGCAAACGCCCACATGATGCGAGCCGCCGCTGTGAGGAGAGGAACTGTCGACAAGCATGCCATAACAGTAATCATAGCAGTCATGGTAGTAGCAGCCGCAACGCTGCCGGTCATATGAAGGAAAATCTCAATGATAGGGAACCCTGTAGGTGTAGCCAAAGCCGCCGAAATATCTCCCATGAAGAAGAGAATTATAAGGAGGAAGGCAAAGCCCAAAGGACCGTTGACCAAGAGACAACCAACCATAGCCCTGGGTACACCCATCTCAGCATTGTTCATCTCCTCACTAAGATGGGTGGCACCATCATAGCCGATAAGAACATAGCAAGAGCTGAGAAGTCCTATACTCCAAGCCACCGCGTTGTTGCCCCATCCAGAATTATTCTCGAAGTGGGAAAAGACCCATTCGGCCGAGTGCTTGGTTGGTGATGTCACGGCCATGGTGACTATGATTGCGATGAAGAAGGTGACGTGTAGCACGAGGGTCAGCTTCTCGATGAGTGGCAGCTTGTTACTGCAGAAGATACAAATGCAAGCGGAGCCCAGAAGGACGGCCCAGAAGAGCAGCGTGCCATGCCATCTTTGGAAGACGTAGGAATCGGGATAGTTGAGGACGAGGAGGCCTTGTATCTGTGTTCCGGCGAGAAAGGGGGCACTGCCAGCGGAGGCTATCCAACCTAATGTTCTTCATGTTGTCAGCTTATATTTCCTTCTCGCGTCTGGATTCGACCGTGACTCACGAGATGTATCCAGCAAACCAGCTGGTCAGGGGTCGGCTCGTTTTCGGACTTAGCTTGGCGACGAAGTGATATTGTCCGCCGGCGGTAGGATAGCTGAGAATGAACGCGTCAGCAGTTACTCAGAATGTGGATGGGCTAGCTTACCTTGACGCCAGTTCAGCCAAGGAGCTGGCAGAACAGAGTGATCCGATAAATGCCACGATGACGCCGTAAACAAGGGATACTGGCCCTCCGCTTACGAGCCCAGCAGCGAGTGTACTTCGGAGAAAGGTCAATTTGAGGCAAACAGCAATAGCGACGGGTATCGAACCTAGATAATGCTTCCCATGTTGCCATCAGGTTGACGCATGTCGCAACCATGGCAGTAAGAGAGAAGTTGCGCTATCATCACCAGTCAGCACGTCCACTCTTCGGAACCAGCATCTCATACCTTCGTCTGCTGAACATAGCCATGGCGCTCCAAGTTCTGTTCATCCTGGTTCTGCGAACCAAGATGCTTCTCATTGTCAACTGCAGGAGATGCCATATCGAGAGACATGTTGATTTCCAATTCGATGTCTGTGAGAGGGAGAATAACAAGAGCGTGCTCGGAACTTTATCTTCGTTTCGTTTATCATACTTCGGAACCCCAGGTCTGGGGTAACGGCAGACGCGGCAGGCATTAGACGTCTAGCGTGCTGCATTGGGGAAAAAAGTGCGTGTGGCGATGCTTGCTAGCGTGGTATTCGCTATCTTCACCAGGGGAGACAGGCATTAGTAAAGCTTACCCCGCATTTTTCGATGAAGGGTATGTGGCTTGCTGCCCGGGACTGATTCCGACGTAACCAGAGATAGCAGATGTCCAGTTCCGAGATCTTTATCATTACCGAAATGTCTCCCATAGATACAGATACAGATATATTATGGTGGTAATTACAAAGGCGCGGCAACAGATCGAAAGTCAGGTTTGATAAGTTGTACGTAAGATTTAAAAAAACGCGAGTTTTGGTTTCTAGAACCGGCACTGAAGGACGCGGACGATTTCCGAGCTGTGGTCTGTTTGGAGGCTTGCGAAGCATAAGGCCAAACAAGAGGCAACTAAAGAAGTAATAGGAGCAACACAGACTTGAAGGCTGTAGCGAACATCACTTGACAAGCAAAAATTAGATCTTGTCGGTTTCACAGATGAGGCAAAAAAAGGATATGATCACGCTGGGGATCGAACCCAGAATCTTCTGATTCGTAGTCAGACGCCTTGCCATTGGGCCACGCGACCGGATTATTTGTTATGCCAGAGCCGTCAGAGTTTGGATCCATGTCGCTGCAGGGTATCTTCAATCGAAGCTCGCAAAAGCTGGTGCTACACAGACTGACACGAAGGAGCAGTTTCTCGTCCAGTATCACTGATGTCATTACCCCATAGCGGATGCTGCAGACGTTTAAGTAAGTGACTTCAGCCGTGGACCACCGAGGAGCGTCAGGTCTCAATCTCTTGTTCTATGAAGAAGTGAAGTAGCAAAAGGGCCTGCGATTCAATGTTCATTGATCGGATCCTATTACTCAATGTGCGTCCTTGGATCATAGTCATCTTGGTCAAGCCTATGGTCCATCGCCCACTCTTCAATTAATGACCACTTCCGACAAATATGCGTTGTAGTTGCATTTGGAAAGTTCTTCCCGACTTGCGGTGCCCAATACCAATGTATCAAACTCAAGTCAGCATTGCACATAAGACTTTGTCTAATAGAGTCAATGCAGTGAAACTTGTGCATAGTTTGTAATCTGCCCAGACCTCCTTCTGTCGAGTTGAAGTCCCTCACCATCTTCCGAATGTCATTAAGGCAGTGCAGTTGGTGGTATACATCAAGACTGGTAATGTAGTAGTCTGGATCTCTAGAGATCTGAGACGTAGGACGGGATAATCGTGATGCTTCTTGGCCAGATATCCTGACCAGATAAGGCTTCATCAGATTTCTCCATGCCTTTTCTGCTTCTGGAGATGCGCCATAGAAGTCTGTTTTTCCAGAGCTACGAATTTGGTTATGTATGATTCGTCGCAAGGTGAGGTACTGACACTTACTGGTCTTCAGGGAAATCTGAATTGAAAGTGACTATTTCGTACTCGACTGCGATCTGGGCCGGAGCTTCCAAAGTCAGTAGAGTTTCTAAGGAGTATTCTGCCACGATATCGTACAATAGAGAGTATCAGGCCAGGGAGGTAAGGGTGATCTTGTTCTCGCCCACAGGCAAAGAGATGAGATGATCAAAAGAAGGTTAAGTAAGATAGATGTAGACGCAATGGTAGACATGTAGTTGGGCACCCTCTGCTTCGATGATTGCTCAATGTGTGATTCCCAGTCTCTCGAGTCATTGGAATGGTCATCGCCATTCTTCAACAGTCGATCATGAGACTCATGACTCTCCAGGTCATCCAGGGAAGACCGTGACATTTCTGTGAGAGAAATGGCAAGGCGAAGTTTGACACTGCGAAAAATAACAAACGAATGCCGCTCGATATATGGCACACATGAACGGGATTCCGTGTTGCTCTAGCGCTGACATGCAACTCATCTTATCCTGCCATTCGGCCATCACTATGCCGAGCCCTCACTTACGTTCGCGACGTACTATGCCGGTGAGATTGTTGATTTTCTGTAGATAGTTGCCGCTCATAGAACTATCCCCTCGTGTAGGATTTAGGCTGTGCCAAGACTGCATGTAAGATTGAGCTTTTATCCACCACTCACGATACGGACTACAGACTTTCAGGCTTAGGAAATCCTTCGTAGGAATATGCTAAAATCCCAATCCAATGAGTGGTCACATAATGCAGTTCGACCTTGTCTACAAAGCTCTTCATGCATACTGATCACAAATGCCATGGTAAGCTCTTCGGCTTCGATCATCCGTGCTGTTACCTCGATGCTCGAAATGCATGGCTATTTGTGAGCACAACGTGACATTCCCCCGCACATGGCGAGATCGCTTTTGTTTTCAAAGGATGTATCGAAGGACCATAACATCAATGTCGGCACAGCATTGCACCGAGATGATTAGAATAAAATGAGGATATAAGCTCATCATGATCACAAGAAGTTACAGGCAGGCGACAGCGACATCATTCATCAACGAACTCTATTCTACAATCATCACCTATCTTGAAAACAAGAGCCAGAAACCTTAACGACATGAAGGTCTCTCATATTCTGGCGCTCAGCGCTCCCCTACTTGCTTTGGCAGCACCTACGCCTGCCAATAGCCAACTTTCCAAGAAAGCCGAAGCCGAGAGCTTCTTCCTCCAGACTGATGTCGGCTGGTTCGACGGCGGCGATAAGAAACGTGCCATATCTGAGAAGCCCTCGACCAAAAAGCGTGCTCCAGCTGACGCTGACGCTGAAAGCTTCTTCCTTCAAACAGACGTTGGGTGGTTTGATGGCGGAGATAAGAAGCGCACTACAATTGACAAGAGAACTCCGATTGTGAAGCGTGATCAGACTGAGAAACGTGAGCCTTCTGATGCTGAGGCTGAGAGCTTCTTTCTTCAAACTGATGTTGGTTGGTTTGATGGCGGTGATAAGAAGCGGGCGACAGGTGATGCCAGATCAAAGTAGCAGGCGTCTTGGTACCGGTTACTGTAGGTTATTTCCTCGTGTAACTGTGTTACATGATTGGGCTTTGTCTTCTACATGATAAATATACACGAAACTTTACCAGGGTCATATATAGTGCACTTGTGGTTGCTTCACTACTGTGTCCTCATTTCCATGACTTAACCCTGCCTTATCTCACAAATAATAGACGAAAAGAAAAAGCCGACGTCTGCTGAGATAACGCGCACGGTTACACACTCAACTCAAAGCCAGAGGTAATACTGCATGGCCAAGTCGTGTACTGACACACAAAAACGTCAGCGACTTATTAAAAAGCAAAAATGAGGATGCTAGTGGAATCTAACCACCGTGATTGGACGAACAGGGAATCGAACCCTGGACCACTCCCAGATGCGACGATCTGTAACTTGGACGGAACTTGCTAAGGGAGTATTATACCACTAAACCATTCGCCCAGGACTTATTGTGGAACGTCGTGTGTCTGATTGGACATACCACGACCATGAAGATTGACTGATTCTATGATGCCGTGTCTCAAGGACCATCTATCGTTCATCCGTTTTTAGCGTATGGCTATCTAGGTTTGGGCACATGACGTACAGTCACATCGCTTGTCAGTTCATGTGTTTGATTTAATGTTACCACAATCTCCTATACTCTCCATCTTTTCCATCACCTAACTCCTTCCGAAATCCATCACATCATGTTTTCGGGTGCAATAGTTAGACCGGACTGGTATCGCCGCGTCACTGACCTTGTACGAGACCGCTTTGCCTGCGGAGAAGCGACTTTGTGGGACGAAGACTCACAAACCCGCCCTGAAGACTATAACGAGGACCTTTCTGATTGTTCTACTTTCTCCTGCGCCTCTAGAAATGGCAGAGATTATGGCAGCGATGATATATGCGAATAACACAGAGATTTAGACGAGGACGGCCGAGTTTCAGACAAGGAAATCGACCAAAACAATCCCGCTGACCTCATGTGCGCCGAGATGAAGCAAGAACGGCGTGACCGTAAGAGAGAATTGCGAACATATAAGAAGTGGGAAGATGAGAAGGGAAAGATGAGACAGCAAATAAGAGAGCAAATGAGAAAAGAGGCTCAGGAGATTGAAGTTTATGAGGATACGGGAAAAGCCGGGGTTACTTGGAAACAGCGCAGAAAAGAACTGAGACCTTGGAAGTCATACGAAGAAGTGACTACCAAAGAAAATATCGAACTCGAGATGCATTGCGTCAGTGAAATCAAAGACGCTCTCGCCCGAGTTCAATCTATCGACGAGACGCCCACGCCTCTCAAACTTGGCCTCATGAGAATGTTCAAGCTCTGGTCAATTGACCATATCAAGCGCTGCCCTTACGAGCTCGCTCCTACGAGATACATCGAGTTTGATGCCCCCTTCTACGAGTGGGACAATAATAGCCAGGAACAGCGTCTACCACTAAGAGCTGAAAGGAACTCCGGGCACATGTATTTACTTGCAGAAGATGCCTGTTCGATAGACAAATTCACACCACCGGAGTATCGCAGTACTAAAACTCATAACTTGGGAATGAGTGAAGAGCCGATATATATCTAGTTCTTTGACGACAATTACTTGACTATCAAGATCAGCCGCGAGACGGTATTTTCAAACTGTGAGGAGGATATCCCTGGGAATGCACCGTCGCTTTTTACATACTATGGTATCTGTGGGAGATATATGGTTGATAAGGAAAAGCAGGAATATGAGGAATGGGAGACTGAAGAAGAAAGTGGTGAAGAATGAGTGGTGCAGGGTGTGAAGTGAAGCGTATCGCATATCATAACTGGTTACTGCCAACCAGCAACGCGTGAGTGAATGCTGAGAGGAGTGTATACATGTGGTGGTCTTTCATAATTCTGATTGCTGCTGACTATGCATCTCTGGATGAAAGACGATCTTTTTCATAGTGGGAAAAGAGCGCAGGTCTTTCTTTTCAGTTGTCCGTGGTGGATTTTCCTAATGTACTGCTTTTGATATTGGACTGTGATTACGGAGTCTTTCGTCACATTATTCCCCAGCTGCCCATCGAAAACAAACTTTACCTCCCAAGAGATTCATATGAAAGCAGTACGTTATGAAAATTCAGAAGTTTATTGAGATTTCCTTATAACATAACCATAATAGTCAAAGCCTCCACCGTCTCCCAGTACCTCCATTTCCATGTCAAAGATGTTATCTGGGTTCAGTAACAACTTCATAAAATGGGGTTGTCTGAAAGTAATGTATAGAAACACTCCATCCGCCTTTAGCGCACGATGTACCTACAGGTCGTTAGAAGCCATCATTTCCTGGGGCAAATAGTCAACCGCGTACCTCTTTCAAGTATTTGCTTGTATTTTCCTTCACTTCATCAGGAGGGCTCCAGGGACTGCCGTAAATCATGGCGTCCAACGTTCCCTTATCGAAAGCGACATCTATAGAGCCAGTAGCAATTGATGGCATATCTCGGACATCAACTCTACTCCATTCGATTCCTGTAATTTCCTTATGTCTCTCTGTCATCATATCAACCACTACAGGAGAGAAGTCGACACATAATTGTTTCTGGTAACCACGCTCGGCAAGCTCAGCAGGTACAACCTGAGCTGAAGTTAGTTTAGTGTGACAAAATTTCGATCATCAGTGGACTGACACTATCGCCCGAGCCAAGGTGAAGAATCCTTGGGTTATCCTGTGCTGTCCGTCCTGGTTGCTCCAAGAGGTTCTTCTGTAGAAATGGAAGGACCTGCGAAAATGACCGGAACCATTCATGAGTTGGCTCATTATTATTTGACGTCGCATAGCGACTATCCCAGTACTCGGAAAGTCCGAGCTGTTGGTCCTCTGCAATTGTCATTTTGGCGGTCGATCCGTCGAATTTTCTCTAGTTTTTACAGCACCGTTCAAAATTCGCTAGCATGGAGTAATGACTCCACAAGAATTAAATCACGTGTATTCGTCTTATCGTGGATCATAGTGGAAAGACTATTCCCGTTTTGAGTAGTATCGGGGAGAGGGTAGGTTGGCCTAATTGTCTGCCTTGTTATCGACTTCTCGAACGACTTGAAAGACTGGTGCTTGGAGTACTAGACCCTTGATAGAGCGCAAACAAAGCGGCGGCCCTGATTGAATTCTAGGAGATTTGGTGGCAGCGACGTCCAGCGAAACCCGTTCGTAGAGGTACCTCAAAATCTGCCCAACTCACAAGAACCAGAATCTTGCACCGGGATGACTTCAGCAGGATCAGCCCCCCAAATGAAAAGATAGAACCACAACGCCCAAATTTATAGAGCCCAAGCTACGCAAAAAGACAGGCGCAAGAGTATACAGCTGATTGTAGCTATTGAGAAGCCAAAAATGAAATGTTTGATGAGACTGGGACTCGAACCCAGGAGGATTGCTCCACCAGGAAATTGGTGTTAAGGTTAACCTTAACCTGGCGCCATAACCAACTCGGCCATCTCACCCAAGCTAGTGCTGATGCTTCGTCGGCTCAGAAACAATGTCTACTACCCTAGTAACGCCCAATTCATCGATTATTTCAACCAGTTCAATGATGCTCGAGAACATAATCTACATCTTTATCTCCTCGCCCCGATAGATTGACCAGAATCCGCTCTGATGAAGGTCGTTGCGCTGCCAAACGAATAGCAAATGCGATTGCATGTGCGCTCTCTAGAGCAATGATGATACCCTCACTCTTTGCCATGCGGAAGAATGTGCTGATGACCTCGTCGTTGCCAACTGTTGTGACTGATATACGCCCAGCGTCGTGAAGCATTGCCATCTCAGGTCCAATACCAGGATAGACTAGCCCGGAGGCTACGGATGAAACGGGAGCAGGCTTGCCTTCATCTTGTTGGAGAACCAGCGTCTTTGCGCCATGCAATGTACCTGGTCTACCGTATGATAATGTCGCTGCATGCTCGCCAAGTTTTTCGGATCGTCCCAATGGTTCCACCGCATGCAACTTCACTTCTGTATCATCAATGAAAGCAGAGTACATTCCCATCGCATTGGATCCACCAGCGACACATGCGACAACATGCTCAGGCAGAGTACCATCACTCATGGCGAGGAATTGCTCCCGAGCTTCTTTGCCGATCACGGACTGGAAGTCTCTCACAATCAATGGGAATGGATGAGGCCCAATCGCCGAACCAATTGCATATAGCGCATGCTCTCGCTGTTCAACATACGCATTGAAAGCCGAGTCACTTGCTTCTTTCAACGCAGACTGTCCCGCTGTAGCAGCAACAACTCTTGCTCCAAGGATTTGCATTCGACCAACATTAGACTTTTGCTTTTCGGTATCAACACCGCCCATATGAACCTCACACTCAAGACCAAAATACGCCGCCGCAGTCGCGAGTGCAACACCGTGTTGACCTGCCCCCGTCTCAGCGATGAGCTTAGTCTTTCCCATTGCTTTGGCGAGAAGTGCGAAACCAACGCAGTGGTTGATCTTGTGCGCGCCTGTGTGGTTCAGGTCTTCGCGCTTGACGAAAATTTGAGCACCGCCGACTTCTCGGGAGATGTTCTCGAGATGGTGGATTGGCGTTGGGCGGCCTTGCAGACCGATGCGGACTTTGTTGAGCGTTTGGTTGAACGAGGGTGAGTGGCGGAGTTCTTGGTACTTAGTGGCCAGTTCTTCGAGTGCTTGGTGAGCTTCGGGTGGGTAGAAGTTACCACCGAATTGGCCGTAGAAGCCATTTGGATCTGGGTAGGTGTCTGAGTGAGGTTGATGAATGCTTCCCATGATGACGGTGAGGGTAATGAAATGATAGAAGACTGGAGGTTAATTAGAGAATATTAGTACCAGCCGGACATAAAGTAGTAGTAAGATCAGCTCTATATAATATTCCCTAACGAACTGTGCCAAGTCATGCACATCATGAAATGTTGAGGAGTTCATTCATAGGGCGCATTCTTACAGTTAGGGTGCAGCTTGACATGAAGGGTGCAAACTAGCGCCATCAAGATGCCGTCACTGCCAACCGTGAGGAACTCAAAGTATTCATCCCCATAAAGTCGTACTGAATATAAAATAAAGCTAGCCCAGAGCTGACTAGGAAATGAACTCCTTGATAGTATCAACAAAATAGCTCTCGTTCTCTAAGTACATTACGTGCCTCGAGTCTGGCACGGTGACAAGCTTGAAATCACCCCCGATACCCTTCTCCTGCGCAGTCTTGACAACCAAATCTCTCATCATATCCACTAAAGGGTTGAGGTGCGCATCATGATCTCCTTTAACAAACATTATCTTCTCACAGCTTTCCAAAAGCTGAGGTACGAGCGGCCGCATGTCAAAGCGCTTATTCTTCTGCAACGTCATCATCGCACGCAAGCCATCGAGACTCAGAGTTGAACTAGCAAGTTTAAGTCGTTCATCCTGGCCTGGATGTTCATCAAGCCACTCTTTGCTCGCCCAGCCGTAGTGCATTTGCCGAATAACATTCGCAGAAGTCCCATCTGCTTCAGCCTGAGCGCGCATCTTGTCGAAGTAATCAAGCGGCATTATATCAAGGGCGCCAAAAGATGCAGGAGGGCATGCGCAGTATGCAAGGTTTTGGATCAATTTTGGGTGACGGCAGGCTAGGTAGACACCGCTGGCTGCGCCAAGTGAGACGCCGACCCAGGCGCGGATGCTGTCGATGTGCAAGACTCGAAGGAGTTCGTCGATATCGTTGATCAGTTCTTCCATCTCGACGTTATCGACATCTTTGACAGGACTACTTTGACCATGACCCGGATGGTCGTAACCCAGGACTCGGTAGCCTAATGAGGCGAGGCGCTGAGCGACGGGCTGATACAGAGTGGTGTCAGCGCCGAAGCTGTTTGAGAGGACAATCCAAGGGCCATTTTGTGATTTTTGTACGATACTGTAAGATATCTTGCGGCTCGTAGAAAGTACGGCGCATTTGATGATGTTTTGAGCAGAGGCCATTGTGGTGCAACGACTAGTGAGACAGCAAGCGAGGCAACGGATCAATATGGTAAAGGTTTGAGGCTGAGGGCACAAGGCGAATTGAGGAGCTGTTAACAGACTCAGATTTATGCACCCGGATACTTATCCTCTGCCGGATAGTTCTTTCCATTGTACAACTTGAAATGTCTCCGAGGGTAAGCTGACGGATCCTTCGTCCTTCAGTATTCAGTCAATTGTCAGCAGAAGCTGCCATTGATGCTGACCCTCCTTTCCGCAATTGATTAGCTGCGCAGATGGAATTTGTAATTTTCGCTTAACGTTCTTACGAAGTAGTATATAGCTCAAATAGTAACTAAGCAACCTCGCAGATAATCTTCTACATCTCTCGTCTTAGACAGAGGCGCCATCATACCAACATATCCATCAGGTCTCACCACTGCAACGACACCATCATCCTTGGATACACCCAACACTTGGTAGACGTCCTCCTTCTTTGACACTCCATAAGTCCGCATCTCAGCAAATGTCTTTACTCCCGCTGGCAGATCAATCCACTCGAATCTTGAAGTGAGTGGATGCATCACAATTGGGGTTACGGTGCCTTTCGGGAACTTTTGTAGAATATCGACGGATGACTGTAAAGCTGACTGCGAAGTGCCGGATTGGTCGAGCAGGTCGTTGCTTGTGAAGACGAGGATGTAGTAACGGCCAGTCGGTGGCATTTCTGTGAAATAAGTCAGTCCCTCAGCGTCCAACATAGTGATTTCAATCTTATAAGAACATACCATCTTGCAGATGACGAGCAGTAGCATCAGCATAGCGCTTCACCTCAACATCAAGCAGTCGTCGTCCTGGTGTCAACGCGCCCAGAAGTGGATCTCCCCGGAACAAGTTACTCTTCGCATCCAACTCCCTGATCAGTCTACTCTCCTTGTACTGAAGTCCACAACCACTAGTGAAACCGCTGCCCTCACTGAAGACTCGAAGGAACTCTTCATGGGTGAGACCCGAGGTCTCGGCATCTGCTGATCCAATGCGACCGGAGAACATGTGCGAGAACTGGGCGTCGAACTCAATGAGCTGGCGAGCTACATCAACGCGCTCTTGGGAAAATGTTTCGAGGATAGAGTCTATTCCAGAGGGACTTGCGGGAGTAAGGCCATGGATCCTGTGGGCGAGCTTCCAGGCGAGGTTGTAAGAGTCCATCATCGAGACGTTCATGCCCTGACCGGCTTTAGGGCTGTGAGTATGGCAGGCTGCATAAAGTTAGCATTCTACCAGTGAAAATATTCTGGATCAGCTTACCATCTCCAACAATGAACACCCTTTCTACCCCATCAGACGTCTTAGCAGAAAATCTGGAAGCCATACGCTGTCCAATCTGATAAGCCGCCCACCAATCTGGCTCCGTCCCCTCCTTGATCTTAATCTCATACGGCGCAAAAACCTGCCGCGCTTGCTCGAAGATGTATTCCAACGTAACCGCACCACGTCGCTTCTTATCAGCAGATTTTTTGTCTGTCCCAGTATCACCACTGGTGTCGACCTCCTCAGCAACCTGAACGTAAAGACGCGTGAGATACTCGCCCGTTGCAATCTGTTCTCTGGGAATGACCATGACAGAACCAGCGTCTGAGTGAACTGCTGAGCGTTTGCGAATATCGGGAAAGTCGGTGTCGGCGACGAAATCGCACACACCCCAGATATGATCTGTTGTTTCACCCTCGAGCTCGAGACCCATGCATTTTCGGACTTTCGAGCGTGCGCCGTCTGCACCGATGAGATACTTTGTTCGAACGGTGCCTTGTTGAGTTGATCCATCTTTAAGATCTTGTGCGTACTTAACCACGATGGGGAATTCAGGGTTGGTTTCGTCGACTGTGTACTCCAGGAAACGATGCGATCTTCTGATGGCACTCTTGCCTGCATAGAGATGCAGGTTCTCTTCTAGAATTCGCTCAATTCGGCCTTGGTGAATCGTAACCTCAAACGGGAAACGAGCAGGGACGTTGACATCGGGTGCAAAACTGGTCCGTTCAATTCCTGTACCATGAGAACCATTGCCGTTGGTGTTTGCGTTCGATTGCACGGGGTTCCAAAATGCAACCTCTTCCATATGACATCCCTCACTGATGATCTCACTTGCTATTCCCAAACTTTGGAATACCTCAAGAGTTCTGGGTTGGAGTCCATCTGCCTGACCGGCTTTCAGCGTACCCGGCTTGGAGTCCAGACAGAGAAGTGAGGCTTCTGTGATACCATATCTTGCGAGCAGCAAGGTTAGAAACAGACCTGCCGGTCCAGCCTATAACGTGCTTGTGAGTATAAATAATTCTATCGACGAGAGCTGTGACTTACACCAATGACGACGACTTCCTTATGTTCCTCGGAGACATTGGACAAGTCTGGCTGCTGAGAGAGTCGGGGTAACGGTAGAGCGCGCGAAGGGAGGATTCTCTGGTCTCGCGCCGCGTTGGAGGTTTCTTGAAAGACAGGCATCACGAATATCCAAACTGTAAGTTCAATGAGCGATGAAAATGACACTTTCCAATCGTTCAGCGTCTTTCAACTCATGTTTATCAACTCGTAGGGCACGATGCACCGCTTTTCTCGGCACCCACCAATTCCGGCAGTATCTCCGATCTTCCGCCCACGCCCGGAACTTTGATTTCTCGGCAGTTCTTAGCGCAACTGCTGGGGCGGGGTACCTTTTCCACCAATTCCTTCTCAAGAGGGCGGAAGTCCGGAAATTCTCACTCTCACAAACAATGACAAGTTCCGGGTCTTTACCAAGTCGACGAAATCTACCGCGGGCGTCGCATGCGTGCCAGAGATGTCGCGCGAAGAAGGCGAAATGCGATCAGCAGCAGCCTTGTGCTAATTGTGTGAGACATGAGTGGGATTGTGTCTATGGGTTGAGGAGGAAGAATGGGAGGGCGAGTACTGTTTCGGTGCTGAACGATGTGCAGCGCAATACGCCGCCGTCACCGTTATCTTCTTCGCGAACTTATTATGATGAGGCGGCGCGACGGAGCGAACCGCTGGAACAGGCTCATTCAACGGGTCGCATAGGTATAGTCATAATTCTTGCCCTGGATGCTTGGGACTGACGGCTGGCTCGTGTAGACGATGGTGATGTTGTCGGTGACATCAATCAGCATACTCACGGCACAGAGTTCTACGGTACATCGTCCAACTTTGTGCTCCTCAATCAATTCTTCGTGTATGCTCAGAAGAATCTACCGCCTGGTCACCCAAACTCAAGCGGCAATGCCGGCTTCCTTTCTGCCAACGCTCATGACGGGAATGTTTCGAGGCAGGGCCTCGTTACACGGTCGCCAATTTCCATTGTCAATCTCCTTTCTGACCGAGAAGTCTTGGAACCTCCTTCAAGACCAAAGACTCCCCCAACGCGAGCAGGGGCCCAAGATGAAATCCAAGCGCGTTCGTCTCTTGAGACGAGACAGGGAACCGCGGGACTTGAGGACTCGATTCATCATGACCATCCCGCGGCTACCAGCCAAAACAGACCATCCGCGGACAACTCGCTATCATCATCGAAGCAAAGGCTAGAGCGCGAATACATCAGACAGTTCTTCAACAACCTTCACCATCTTCACCCTATGCTTGATCCTATTGCTTTCGCCAAGCAATGCGAGGAACTCGTCTGGAGCTCTCAAACCTCAATGGAAAGTAACAAGACCCAGCGTCATTTCTTTGCCCTGTACCATATAGTCGTGGCTGTCGGTTCGATCGTTGCTGGCTCTTGTATCACTCAGGACTTTGAGCGCGACATCAATGTCTGCATGAAGCTTCCGGCTCAAGGACAAGACTTTAATCCTTCTCGATTAAGCCAAGAACTCTCGAAGAAGTACTTCCGGAAGTCCAGGATGTTGCTCGGAGATGTCTTTGAGGTTTGCTCTTTAGAGAGCGCCCAGACACTACTCCTCATGGTATGTGGCCCTCAGTCTCAGTGGAACCGGGAAGCTGACCCAGTAAAGTCTTTGTACTGTCAGAACTCCCTCAAACCTCACGCTTGCTACATGTACTGCGGCCATGCCGTCCGCACAGCACTAGCCATCGGTATCGCAAGAGAAACTCCATCCAACTCGATTGAGGACCGCAAAGCAGCACGAAGAACGTGGTGGTGTATTTACTCTCACGAGATTGACATGAGCTGCAGTGCAGGTCGTCGTGATAGTCTTGGCAAACCTAGGAATTACCAGATCGATCTGCCTCATATCAGAGGGCAAGATGTCGCAATATCGAACCAGCCTGATCTGGAGAATTGCAGTGCGGCCATGATCAATGAGATGGTCCATTTCGCTGCTGTCCTACGGCGCATCTCGAAGGAACTATACTATGACTCGAAGGGTCTGACCTTGCTGCAGAAGTCCGCTGTTGCGAAGGAGCTCGATCGCCTGCTTGACGACTGGAAAGCTAAGCTACCTACTTATCTGGACTTCACAGCCGTATCATTCCGTGAACAAGAATGGGCAGCTAAACAGAAGCTTGTACTTCATCTCAGATACCTCAACGCAAGAATTGTTCTCCATCGCCCTTTTCTCGAACAACCTATGCTCACGGCAGAAGCTAACATGTCCACTCATGCTGAGTTATGTTTGGATGCAGCACGTAAAACTATTTGCGTCATGTATGACGCTTATGCAAATCGGCACTACTTCCGCACTTGGTGGTACAACTCCACATATACTCTGTATGCCGGGATGATCGTTCTGTATATCATTATGCTTGGACCTACAGATGTTCCATCAGAAGACCTCCTCGCCGATGCTGTCAAAGCGCATGATATTTTGCAATCAATGGAGGAGGCTACTGTTGCTCGAAGAAGTGCGAGTCTGATTCAGGAAGGACTAGAGGTAGCGCGAGCGTGCGTACAGCGGCAACAGAGCAGGCCGGATGGTGATACTGAACCACCGTTCTTCGATGGTACACAGGGTGACTTGAACAGTATTACAGATCAGTTTTCGAGTGCTGTTTCGGGACAGGATCATGCGCTATTGGCTTCGATCATTGATCCGAACTTGCTGCAAGATTTCATGGCGGCGGATCAGGATGCTCTCGGATTGGGGTTTGAGATGCCGTCTTTAGATGGGTTGTATGGTGAAGCATTGGATGTTGATACTATGTCAATGGTGCCCTGAGTCAAAGAAAGGTCGAGCAGGCATTAAAACCGGATGTGTATATTTGTTGTAATTAAAATGAACTGTCCATTATGTAATTGTATCATCATTCCTCTAGCTATAGCGCATCTCGCGGCCACTATCAGGTGAACTGTCTACTATGCCTACACAATTCTCTAATCGACATCCGGAACAGGTAGATCATCAATGAATCTGAAATTCCGTCCCAATTTCGCCATTGCCTCCTCAGCCTTCTGCCTCCTAAGTTTCGCAGCCGCTTCATCCGAGACGAGAACAAAGTCATATGTCATCAAGGCGGAACCGATTTTGACACCATACTTCTTCGCCATTTCTTCGTCTTCAACCTTCTTGATGTTAACGATCAACGAGTCCTTGACACCAAACACGGCATCAGTAGTTTCGTAAGGATCGTCCTTGAGGTAGAGTGCGCTACGAGGGCATTTGTTAGATATAATCGAGGTGCCAGAGAAGGGCAGACTTACGTGATCAGAGGATCGTATCCGTCTTTCTTGAACATGAAGTGCATATGACTGGGTCGGTAGCAATGTCGGCCCAGTACTTTAAGCAACTTTCCGACGGGTCCGTCATGAGGAATAGGATATGGCACAGGTACAATAGCCTTAAACCAAAAGTCTCCATTATCGTCACTCGTCAGCACAGCTCTTCCATCCGGGCCAGTCCGGTCAGCGTGCTGAACATCGTAGAACCCCTTAGAATCAGTCTCCCAGACGTCAATCTCGGCTCCAGGAATTGGTGAACCATTGACATCCTTGAGGGTACATAGAACAAGAAGAGGTTCGCCATCTGTATCTTGGGAGATCAGACTTCCCTCTTTTACATGCTCGGCCTCATGTGTATGGAAAGGTCCCAAAACTGTGCCTTCAGTGCTGCCCTTCGGTTTCGGATGGTCAATTGAGTCAACCAAAAGTGAAAGGCCCAGGACATCAGATAGTAAAATAAACTCCTGTCGGACATCGGTGCAGATCTGACCAACTTGTGTCAGGAATTGGATAGCTGTCATCCATTCGTCTGTAGTGAGTCTTGTTTCTCTCGCCAAGTCATGCAAATGTGTGACAACTCGTTCAAGGATATACTTCAGGCGCAGATTACTGCACTGAGAGTTGATGGCGTGAACATTCTCGGTAATGTTATCAATAGTGAGATCTTTCAGATTAACAGGAGCCGCCATAATGAGTATGAATATGAGAATAAATGACAAATAATTGTATAATGAGTTCTAGCCTCCAATTCAGTTCCACCTCAAGCAATTTATCATTTCTAAACCCCGCGTTTCAATACGTCGTCTTTGTGGGGACGGTGTGATCCGAAGTTCGGGACCCGGGTTTTGGGAGGTCGGAAGATACTCCACATCCCGGAAGTTGAGGATTTCCGCCAGCCGGACACAATTATCGGCAGTTCGTCCAAGGGTCGGATCGGATACGTCATTGGCTCGATCGGTCAGCGGAGTTTGCTACGTCGTCGTTGGTCGCCAAAATCGTACCGGTGAGTTATAGGGTAGCTGCAGCACCGCGACGTGAAGAACAAAACTGTTAATTCTGGAGATAAACGAAGTCGCAGGTTTTCGAGAAAAATATTTAGTCATGCTGAATAAGATCGTCTGTTCAATTGCGTATCGAGTTTGAATGTAATACCATGCCAAGAGCGTAATTGTAGAGCATCGTCATAAGAGAAGTTGACTGAACGTTGGCGATTGAAGGTAAGTCACGGTTACCAACACACTTGGATTGATAATGCATGTTAACTTAGAGAGAGACCTTGCTCTATTTCAACACCGAAAATTGATATTCAGATAAGCGCAGCTTTCCAAGAATTCTTTAATTGAAGATACAATGTCAATATGGCTCATAAATTGACGATGTGATCCGAAGTTCGGTTTCTGGATGCGTTTATGAGCTGCATGAGTATTAGTCAGCAAAGACAAGGTCGCGTGGCCCAATGGCAAGGCGTCTGACTACGAATCAGAAGATTCTGGGTTCGATCCCCAGCGTGATCATTCTTTTTGCTTTATCTTGCCTCAATTTTATTATAGCTGTTTAACGGATACTGTTCATTCGCGACACTCTTCATCAACTGTGCAAGGAACAATTCGCTCCGCTGAATTGACTTTCTAGAACCCTTCTTAGGCTAAAATCCTCACGGAAAAGCGGGGAACGGAAAAAGGATCACCACGGAAAACCTACCATTTTAACTCCTAGCATCGTTTCAAGTTTCGTAAAGGTTAAATACAAGGGTCGTGGCATAATTGAGGTTAATTAAAGACAAACGTGTCACGATGCCAAGCGGTGACCTCATCATTGGAGGATATACATCTCTCCATCGCGGGGAATCTGCCCGACAACCGAACTCAAATATACCCTGGATATCCGTGGATCTTTGACTTCTGCAGTACTCGGAGGACTATCCTCCGAGGATTATATAACTTTATGCCGTGCCTTGCTCAAAGGTGATGAATTTCGTTCCTTGCTCTCTTCGCCTCGTGTCCTGTTCATCAAAATGCATGGTAAACTACTCAGTGTGCTTCTAGGCTCTGCCGTTTTGGTAGTGCCTAGCCAAGCCGTCAACCTTTTCGTAGCGGACTACGGCGGCAATCTGAGCACTCTGAGCCTCACCGAATCCGCGAAAGGCTTCGATCTCTCCGTCACCTCGAAAACGACCGACTGTTCTCCCGGACCCAATTGGCTCACCCTTGACAAGCCTAACAACGTGCTTTATTGTCTGGATCGCGGCCTAAACTTCCAACCGCCTGGTTCATTGAACTCGTTCACCATTGGAGAAAAGGGTGTTTTGAATCGCGTTTCTCGCGTCAAGTCCATCACAGGAGGCGCTGTTGCAGGCGAGATCGTTACTGGTGCAAGCGGAAAACGTGGTTATTTCAGTGCTTCATAGTAGGTTGTCAATAATCCTTGGAATTGAAGTTACTCACATGCCGTAGCACTCCAGGTGTAGCATCGCTTTATGGCCTCGGCGACAAAGGCACAATTGTCGGCACCGCGCCACTTCAAGAGCTTACCACGAAAATTAGCCAGACTGGCCCAATTGCAGACCGCCAGGAAGCAAGCCATCTTCACCATGTCATTATTGACCCTACTGGAAAGTATGTCATTACACCCGATCTTGGTGGTGATGTCTGCCGCGTCTTTACTTACGACAAGAACACTCTCACTCCCATTGCTGAGGTGGGCAGCTTGAGCGCTCCTCGTGGTTCTGGGCCCCGCCATGGATTCTTCAGAATTATGGCGAATGGTGAGACTTTCTTCTTCTTCAACGGTGAACTTGACCAGAAGGTGTACTCTTACAGCGTCAAGTATACCCGCACTGGTCTCTCCTTCACAAAGGTCTTTGAAATTCCATCGCTGAACGCTAGCTTTCCTCCAAACACGGCTCCCATCAGCGAAATTGCCATGAGCGTAAGTCACTACATATCTTCCGTGTGAGTCCTACTGACTTTCAATCAGCCTGACCAGCGCTTCGTGATCGTCACCAACCGCGAGAAGTCTTTCGCCAACTCTCCCCAGCGAGGATCTGGTCCTTCCGACACTCTCACAGTCTTCCGGATCAATGAGGATGGCACTCTGAAGCCTATCCAGGCTGTCCCATCTGGCGGATATCTTCCCCGCCAGTTCTCATTCAACAAGGCCGGTGACAAGATTGCGGTTGGTCATCAGGTCAACCAGACCGTTGTCATTTGGAAGCGCGATGTCAAGAGTGGCAAGATCATTACGGAGCAGGAGGGCGGAAAACTGGCGCAGGTGAAGCTCACCGGAGATGTTGTAGCTACCATCTGGGACGAGTAAATATGTAAAAAGTCTCGGCAGGGTTCCCAAAACTTGCGCTATATTAGATACATACATATTTACCATATCCGAAATCTTACGTGTATCCTACACGTTGCACTCAGGAGTTGTGAAGAATACTTACGATCTGATATTGGCGCTATTTAGGAGGTCGAGAGATTTCTATCTCATGGATCAGATAAAATCGAGGGAGAAAATGAGTTTTTATCCTATATGCCACTCCTATCCTGTACTGGGAAGAAATGCTACCTGCTTGTTGTGCCATGAGTTACATTACTGGATAGTGGAGATATTCTACCGTTCGAATACACCTAATGCGGCCGGTTTCCGCGGAGAGGGTAGGCACAAAAGATGAATGACTGTACACATATCATTCAGTTTGACGTGACTATTGCTTACACTCCCCTCTTTGAACGGCTGACGGGAACCGCGTATCTGCAACTCGACATGAGATCCAGCAGCCAGGTTTGAGCGATCAAAAAAATGCGTGAAGAGTATCCTTTTGCAGGAGTGTTTGGTTCCTCGGCCCGAAACGCTTCCATTTCCCAGATACGTCGTTACTCACATCGTTCACGCCTCGAGAGTTGACTTCGGTTTCACTTTGATGGGTGACGCAGGCCTTTTCCAGCAGCGTGACCGCCACGAGCTGACGCGGAGAGGTATGCACTGTAGGTTTTCGGCTTATGACTGCCGAGTTTAGCACTGTTACACAGATGTTAGCGTTGAAAGTGACGGACAGCTGCCAAGCTCGCCTACAAGCTCCTGCAACTGGCACACCACACGTGATCCGCTCCAATACCGCCTTTGATTCAAAATTTATTTCTTTCCCTTCTTCGCCTCCTTCACACAACACAGCACCGCAGATTATCCCTCACCTCACCGCGACGCAAGCCGAAGTGCTTCATTCACGCAAGCTCACACTAGAAGTATTGGTTTGTGAGCGCGCTCCCATGCTTCGGCTGCCCAGCATGCCCCCAGGCCAACTGTCGCACAGGCTCTGCAAATCAGAACAGCCGAACAACACTGGCTTGTTCTCGGAGTCTGAGGTTGGTGAAAATGCAGAAGAGGAACCCAGGCGGGATTACATGTTTAAGTTTCTAAGGTGGATGCGCAAAGGAACCCGGTCAAACTGTTTGAGGGCACTCGAAATGGAATGTAAACAGGAAGTCGACACCTAGTTTGTGGACGACTACGACTTGTATCCGCGTGGGCGCTTCTTTGTGTACGTGGTACACCTTTGGGTCTGGCTTATTTACCGTGAGTCTTCAGTCACAACACGCGTACCTTGATTACTTACTTTCTGTGCTAGTCAAACGCATTTTTCCTTTTCCCATCTTCCCCTGGAGATATATTGGGGAGGCGCCCACAGGTCCTTTTGCAGGCTGCCATGATAGGTCGAGAGGCATAACGAGGGCGCTTCAGATTCATATACTTAGGCGACTGGGCCCCAACGGGCCCAAAGGATGGAGGAAAAACAGGAGACATGTATGGTGGAGACCAGTATTATCCCCGGATAAGATTCTCGGGAACCCGCAACCTCAGCTGAAGCTTGATACGGATTCCGAAAACTGCTTTGGTCAACTTCCGGATGCCACTAGCCGCCTGAAACAAGAAGGCCCATCGCTGGCACCGCCAGCATCTCCTGGCCACAACGAGGCGTCTGTTCGCCGGAATAATGACGAGCCCTCCAGTGACCTGTCGGCAAACGAAGAAAATTGCGATGTTTCCCATGGTGGCCAGAACTTGTCGACTGTTGCCCCAAACTCGAGTCTTTCCCAACTCAAAGAGGGGCGTGATGAGCACGATAGCCAAGCCTCCGTCCCAAGTGAGCGACAAAGCACAAGTTCCAGCTTACTACCCTCCGCTGAACCACGCAGCGCCCTTTCTGTTTTACTCGAAAGACTCGCCAGCATGAGTGACCGTTTGCATTGCGTAGTGGACGAAAACTTTGACATTGATACCATTGCATGGCTCGTTATCGGGCTTGGAGCCGATGAGTCTCGGCAACGTCTCTTCAATTTTCTTGATGAAGCGACAATGGGTGTATGGTATTGCTTGGGTGACGTCGTCTCTCAGTCCTTTCGCTTTCTGATTGAACTGGAATCTCCCGAGGAGGCTTGTGTATCTCATGGACTGTCATGTAAGCGAGTTATGGTGGTTCAAGATGAGCTTGGCTGCAGACAACTTCGCTTCAAGACAGTTCATCGCGCTGAATGATGGCTTGGAAGACTGGATCAACCTGTGGAGTGGTATGGGGTTTGCTATTTTTTCGAGTATGGAGGAAGAAAGACTTGAGGTGGATTAAATTTTGGCGTCTCTGTGATAGTGATGGTTGTAACATTATACGGTTGTGTACTTTTAGCCTTTGCATGGACAGTGAACATAGAGAAAGGGTAAAATTATGTATTATGGTATTTTAAGATGTATTGCTTTCAACGTTATCGCCTATGTTCTGTCCCTATTCACGCATCAGCCCTCTGTCAAACAAGCATATCACAGATCCTCATGTAATTAGGTCAAAATTGCCTCTACGATAGTCATGCTACTGTGTCTAAGTATAAAGGGTGTCAAGAACTACTGGACTGCTCTTCCGTCACAGGGATCGGCTCCGTATCAAAGGAGGCTTCCTTCAGGTATCTGAATCTTGCTCCGAATACCCACCAAACACCGGAAAATAGGAACGTTGCCCCAACAATGAGTGCGGCCCAGTTCATGTTCCCGATGTTTTCACCTGTGACTGGAAGATACAGCGGCATGCTAGTAAGGAGTCAGCAATGATATCTCACTGGAAGCTTTTGTGGGATAATACGAACACATAGATGACGATAGTCAGTAAGGCCCATGCAACAGAAACATAGTTCACAAAGTATCCCCATCTGCCAAGATCAAAGTGAGGGCGAGGTGGAAGAACTGAACGGCCTCGGACAAGAGCCTGTTGACAGCGTCAGCAACCAAATAATAGCGTCAATGAACAGTACTCACCACCGTAACTGGTATCGCGTAGGCAAGGGCGAAACAAACACCAGCACCACTGACGATGGCGTTGTAGGCCAGTTCACTGCCTAAAGAAATGAGGCCAATGATGACTTCGACCACAATGATGGCAAAGATAAAGTTCAAAGGAATCTGCAGCTTATGATCGATCTTCTGGAGGCGATGGGACCATGGGAATGCCTTGTCCTCCGCCATGCGCCAGCCGAGACGGGAACACGAAGACAGGATGCCAGTGCAAACAAGAAGCTGGAGCATGGGACTTTAGTCATCATGACTACAAAATAAGGCGAGTTTGACTTACGTTTACGACACCAAACACTATTGCAACATAGATCCCGGCATACTCATTGCCCGCGACGTCCGAAAACCAAGTGACGTATGGTGACCTAGCCATAAGCTTGAATCATAACAATACGGTTAAGGGGAACTTACAAGGCCGTTACATACTCAGCATAATTGCCGCAGCAAAACAGTAGGATGAGATCAGTGACGATAGTAGCAACACCAGAAAGGACCATAGACCAAACCATGGCTCTCTGTGTAGTGTCAGTAACTCAAACCTTGACTACGCAAAGATACTTACTGGTGCGTCTTGAGAGGCGTTCTTCATCTCCTCAACCAAATGCATCATGCTATCCGTCCCATAAAGGCCATACAGAGGGCTGTAAAAACTGAGTATGAACACCCATCCGTTATTCGTGTATCCCGAATTGTTGATGAATTGAGTAAATACGAATTTCGCGCTGGCTTTCGGGGCTGTGGCAAGAAGAGTGATAGCCCAGCCAAAGAAGCCAAGGATTGTAAAAACGGCGCCGACGGTGCTGTAGAAAGGGAGTGCGCTGGGCTTCAAGTTCATCAGGAATGGGATAACCAGCAATCCAAGATATATCAAAAAGGTTTGGTAAGGCTTAGAGAGTCAGCGCATGGCATCACATCAAGGGGGGAGTCTCAATACCTTCCAGTCAATATTTGGGTGAAATATGGACACCATGGTACCAATGATGTTGGCGGTATTCAAGGCACAAGAAGAGCCAGTGGCAGTCTCGGCTAGAAGCAGACACCAACCGACGAAGTATGAGAGGAACGGTCGGTACTTTTCGGTAGCGAGTTTCTGGACGTAGAACTGCTGACCACCTGCAGTAGGCCAGATGCCACAGTATTCAGCGAGTGAGGCCATGAGTAGGGTTTGGCCGATTGCGACGATGATGGATCCGTAGAGAAGCGAGGCTGGTCCACCGACGTCAAAGATCACACCGTAGAAAACGACGACGCATGTCCATGTCGCACTGATCATGACCTGGTATGCGCATACTGTACTGCTGTCAGTATTGAAGACCAAGGAACTGCTGAAGAAGACTCACATGTCCAGAAGTTGTAGACGCGATGCAACTCAGCCGACTTTCCGAGGGACTTGAGATACGCATCGTCAGTGTCATACTGAGACTGGCTGCCCTCGAGAACGGATCCATCGTAGCAGATTGGCTCAGCCTTGATGTCTTTAGGGGGATCCATATCCAGTGGAGTTCGGAGGTAGGTGATATCTTTCTTGAGAATGTGGCGCGATCATGAACTGGAGAATATAGGAACAATGCCAAGATGCAAAATAGGAACCAATTTGGGAACAATGCTTTAAAGGGAGAGCTTGGTGGTAGAACTGAGAACAGGAATGTCTATAATTAACCAATTTCCCAAAGCGAATACACAAAGCAACATGACCCAAGACTGCAATCTACATCCTGGTCGAGAATGCGGGGAAGATAACGTCAGGACAGCAACCACCAATAATGAACTAGCCTGCTATCGTTTACAGCTGCCATCATTCCACGCAAGCGCCTCGTTTCTCTCCCGGGCAGCCAAGTTAAGCCTTCCCCGGAATGCACCGCGTTGCCGCTTCTCTCCCGACCAGCCTAGCCCGGGATAGCGTGCTCATGTGAGTCCCCAGGCCTTGGGTCGATGTGAAAGTGGCTTGGACTTTTCTCTGCCGACCAACCTATCTTGGATTAGTGACAAGCTAGTGAGAACCATTGAATGCAGCTTCAAAGTAACGATAGAGTCATATCAAGATGAAGGAAGTCAAGATAACGTCTATAAATAATGATAAAGACTTCACAGGAGTCTCAATAACAACTATCGATCTTATCACTGCTTCAAAATGGCCTCACTGAGCACAGCTACCACTAAACCATCTTTTGTGCGTCTGGACGCAGCGGAAGCATCCACGACGCCACAGAACCTTGTCGCAGCCATCAAACGTGACGGCGGCGTGATTGTTGAGAACCTTATATCTCGCCAGTTAGCAGAGCAGATCAGAGCAGATCTCAAACCCCATTTTGACTCTGATATTCCAGACTTGTCTGGATTCTTCCCTGTCACAACCCAGCGAGCAACTGGTTTATTTAATGTTTCTGATGCGTGTGTTGAACTTGCCTGTAACCCCCTCTACATCGATGTTGCGAATGAGCTTTGCTCTTCGTCGCTGACGTATTGGGAGCGGGAGAAGAGGATTACTGTGAGCGGAAAGCCTATTGTTTCGTCCACTGTGGCGTTTCGGGTTAATCCTGGTGGCAAACAGCAGGTTCTGCATCGAGATGATGAGTGAGTACACCCTTTTGCCACGGTCTGGAACCAGTGATGGAATAATCTTGCATAATGCATTGGTCTGGAACTATTCGCTGACTGAATGCAGTGACTACCATCCCCACGACAAAGAGCTCCCAGTCATGATTGGCTGCGTGACGGCTCTCACCAGAACCACCAGAGAGAACGGTGCCACGATCGGCATTCCGGGATCGCATCTCTGGGATAGTGAGCGACGACCATATGACGAGGAAGCTGTGCCCGCAGAACTTGAACCCGGCGACGCCTTCATTTTTCTAGGCAACCTCTACCATGCTGGCGGACAGAACATCACCCAGTAAGTGAAAGGCAAATTCCGAAAATCGTGCCCATACTAAATGACTTCTTAGAAACGAGTATCGCGAGACAGTAGGTATCTTCCTCTGCAAGCCGACTCTTCGCCCTGCGGAGAATCAGTTCCTCATGGTACCATTGGAGCGAGCGAGGCAGCTCACACCGCAAGCGCAAAGATTGCTTGGCTATGGCGTTTGTAAGCCATCGTTGGGATTCATGAACTACCAAGACCCAATGAAGGTGTTGTTTGGAGTGGAGGACGAAGAGACAGTGCTCATGTAAAGTAATCCTCCTATGATCAGAACACAATAAATGGGCTTATCCGCTCCTCGTTGTCTCTCGCATACTGTATCCAGTTTTGAGTCGACCCAGCTGCTGTTGCGTTCCAGAAGTCTCTCAAAAATTGCAATACTGCCGAATTACAGGAGAATCCTGTCGCGGCTATGTTTTCGGTGAAAAGCCTCTCGATCATGACTTGCTTCTCGGTGTATAACTGACTAGCTGTTCCAAGTATGAACAGCGGGAATGAGATGTTGTGTGAAACAGATTCTGTTGGCCAGGATGTCATGAAGATGATCTCGTTGTAGAGACAATCAAGTAGCGGAGGAGTAGCTACTGACCTTTCCGCCTCTGAAGCAAGAGCTTGGTAGCTGTACACCAGGCAAGCGTAGTATTGAGCTTTGAGAACAGACTTAAGGCCTATCTGGAGAGAGACATCTTGTGATGGGGTAGAGTCAATGCGGGCGCAAACGGAGTCATAAGAACTCGTGAGCTTGTCTTGCCACACAGTCATATCCGTGCCAGCAAGTATCTTCCCTGTCCTAAAAGCGTTATCTCGGGTTCTCTCGGTAACCGTGATCTCATAAAGCGCTTCGGTAAATTCTTTGAAGTAGTCATCAGAGGTCGCGTGCTGTGAGATGGGCCTATGGCGTCTCAAAGCTGAGCTGAATGTCGATATACTCCCGAAAGCCTCCAGGTAGTCAAGTTCTTCGATGAAGAACTGAGAAATTACCTTTTCGTGTGGATTTGCGAGGTCATATCTATCGAATCCTGTGCGGACACCGCTGAGGTGGAGTCTCCATCTCGTCGAGTTCGGTATGAACATTTCTGCATAGCATAAAGAAATCATGGTGAGAATAATCTCGATGAGAACCGAGGCTTCGGTAATCTTATCGCACCGCGCTACTCCGCGCTTCAGCTCGGATTCCATCTGCCGGTTTAGGTGACATAGAGTCGCATCTCGAAGATTTCGGTGAATCTGAACAAGCGCTGCCTTATCTTGGGGAGACACGACAGACATATGTGCTGCTGCCAAACCCAGCGTTGATAGCCGCAAGCAGGATGAGCGTTGCGCAAGAGGAAGTACGAGAGTTCGCCATGGGTTCTTGGGCCCATCCAGCCACGCAAGCTTTGATGCGACTTCGTGGTTGAAATGTTGAAAGAGGACTGCATGAGCTGCTTGTCGGACGTGACGATCGACAAGCTCGACATTCTGCTTTGTGTGCAATACAGCCAAAGAACTTTCAGTGGCTATTTGAGGTTGGCAACGGGGAGAGTTTTCGTCATCGGTATGCTTCTTCATGCGAAGGGTCCTTGATTGTTTGTGTGTGCGTGGTACACCATGCTTGATCTGAGGTCGTAACGGGACTGATTTCCCCATCAATTTGCCTCTGCTCGCCACTCCCTGATCCCATCTCAAACGAAGGCCGTAGCCTGGACATTCGAGTCCTCGACTACAACATTTCTGACACGAAGGAACACTTCGGTCGCATTTTATTCGCCTTCTCACACATGTTTTGCAATCTGGAAATGAGTAAATAGTTCTAAGCAGACATCGACCTCACTCACTCTGAGAAGCAACCTCACGATCCGACGACAAAGAATCGAGGCGAATATTCCGCATTTCGGACCAAGTTTCCACCAAGAGTCTCAGGATTCAGCGTTTGATGCCAGTGACCGTTGAAAAGCCATTTGTTCAATTGAGGATTGGCTTACCATGTTGATCTGCACGCGACAGTTGAAAGGGGAAGATGCGCATCATGAACCCCGCTTTCTAACGACTTGACGTTAGTTGGAAAACGACAATTGATACGAGAAGTGCCCTATCTTCATACCCGATTAGGAAATCTTTCACGGTGTAGCTTGGAGGAGTCTTATCGCGATACGAAAACCGCCTGTCGCTTCATCCTTCCCAATATTATTGTTGTTGCACGATTGATTGTCGCAACCTGAAGACATATATAGTCAATCTTATATACAATCTCTTCTCTGTTCAATAATAAGTCTGATCATTATCCACTGTGCAAATGGCGACAATCTTGGTGACGTTGAAGGCCCAGTCACAACTATGCATAGGAAGGTCTCCAAATAAAACATCAAGGACATCAAGTATAACGGTAATGGGACTTGGAATTTTCTTGACAGCGCTAGCGGATTATCCTGGGTCTACATGTATGGATGAGGCTGTCAACGTTCCCCTAGCTGGCATTGTAGTGATCAACTCGCGCAATAAACCCAGACACGACTTCCCGAAACTGTCATTCGATATGGAAACTGGTGGCCGCATGCTGGATGACATGTCGGCTTAAGACATCTCAGTCTTGAAGCCAATCAAGAGACCCAGCCTCCAGTCGTTGGGCTCGGGTGTCTGAGACCACGACTACCCTTGCTTCATCTCAAACTTGACAATCAAATTTGATCAGCCATTGATATCTGTTCAATTATTTCTGTCTTATCGAGTTCGATAATTAAACTATAAGCATATCTGGATACCTATTCTGAGTATTGTTTGGGTTAGTCGTGACATAAGCACGTAAACATAGCTTAGAGCAAATATCTTCATCCCTTGCTTCAATTTATCGCTAGCCGCTGATTTTCTAGATCCAATAAAGCCGATTTAGTCATTCAATAAGAATCAAAGCAAGTAGTTTCCTTAAATACCGCTTCTCAAATGACTGCAAGGGAGCCTGAATCAATTTGGTGGTCGGGAGCGCCGTTGAAGAGTCTGCTCATAAACATTGTCCATCGAGAACACACGGAGGCCTCATCTTCAAGTTGTGTGATTCCACTTGTGGACTTTACAATTGGGAACATTCCAGGTCTTGGCATCAGCAGAGCTGGATGACGCTCGAGTGTCTATTCTTCCTCTGACCCTCACTTCGAACGCTGGCTAGTCTAATTAGCATGTTGAATATTTTGTGGATTGACATATACCTGTGCTGCCGGCCTTCCATTTGACCCTTTTGTGACTCTTGGCATGCTAAATATTCGTAACCTCTCTCCTCGTGATTATGGCCAAATCAGGATTCATCGCATCCCCATCCAAAATTTATGGCAATGCAAATGTGTTCAGCTTGGTCGATGGTCAGCTCTTCGTCGGCAATGTCCCCTTTTATTTCAACAGAGAGGACTTCAACGTATTCGGTGCCGAGCAGGGAGGAGTTCCCAGTAGTGTTATTACCAGAACTTTCTTTCCATAATAGGGATATCCTTTATTAAAGACTTTGTATATTAAATCTTTCTTAACTTATATTATAAACTTAGTCTCTGACTTATAATTATAAGAATAATATTATTAGTCTATATAATTATATAATTCCCTAACTATACTTTATATGTAATGCGCGCTCTTCTAAGCGATATCCGTTGACGCATTTATCATGAATGCGGAGAAGTGATGAGTAGTAAAAAAAATTCAAGAAAATGGGGAAAAAAGAGAAAAAGAAAGCATGATTAGATCATGAGGCGACTCTCCCGCCGGGAATTGAACCCGGGTCTCAAGCGTGACAAGCTTGCATACTGACCACTATACTACGGAAGATGAACAGGTTGAAACCTGCTGTAGCTGAGTTCGATGGCTGGTGGTCCGCTAGCAGAAACTAAGTACCTAGACCTTTGATAATAAAGAAAATCCATTTGCCAACAGTAGCGTATGAGTCCAGGTCATGGTCTCAACATGGCTTTCAGGAGAGAATGCCTGTAAATAAAAGGCTTCCAGCCTCATTGGTTCTCTTAAATTATTTATTCATTACTTACATCAAGGTTTTAGAGGTCGCAGACATCGAAAGACTTTCATATTTACCAAACTTGTGAAGACTGACAATCGATGATGGCCTGAACAGCTCAGCCTCAAAACGGGACTCGGACGTGGGGTGATTGATACAGAAACTCAAGATCTGACGAGATATTTCATGCCGAGAGTCTGAGTACGCCGATCAAACATTCCTTCTGCATCCTTTTATGGGGGATGATATCCACTATCCTTCCTTCAGCTCCGCTGTTTCGAGCACTACCGTTCCTTTCGCGGCGTGATATAAAACCCATGATGAACTAAAATCTGACGCTGACGAGTTGCTTCCATGATATGGGCACAGCATAATGCAGATCAACGACTTGAGCTGAAATAAAGAAACATGTCACAGGAGATAATTGTATAAAGTAGGAAACATTAACTACTTAAATTTACCTTATCGAAACCTCTTCCTAAATCTCATAAGAATTCCCGAGTTTCATCCAGAACCAAGAACTTCGACCGATATTACTGATTCCTGCAATCTCAGTTAGTCAACTTAAGTAACTCCATCATGAAATCCATCGTCGCATCAGCCCTCCTCTTCCTCGACCTCACTTCAGCTCAATACGGCGGCCAAATCAAGGTCAAAGACGACGGCTGCCCCCAATTCACAGCTGGCGAAAAGTCGCAGCCTCTCAGTTGGGTCAAGGGCAACAACATCTGCGCAGACCTTTCAGATATCTGCCCCGATGGCAGATGCTTCATGGCATTCCAAGCCCTCGTGACCGGCACCGACAGCAGAACGCCTGCCAAGATGGGGGCTTGTCCTACCGATGATTGCTCTTCGGATTGTCAGACTTGGGACGTTGACTCGCAGAGTAACAGCATTAGTGTTGATTGTGCTGAGTTTACTGGGCAGCACTACTTTTACTTGGGTGACTAAGGAGTCCTAGGAGTAGGTGGTTATGAGAGAACAGCGATTGTCAAGCATAGGCGCGATACCACCAGGGGACCGAATGCCATGATTTGTCAAAGTTGTCCAAAAAAACCATCAATATACAAAAGAATCTTATCTGACAATGGTACTTCCTGCTATGTTTTGGACCGTGTTTTGCGGCAGTGAAGACGTTTTTCTAGCCTCATGCTTGATACTATGACGCTACAATGTAAGCTAAGGGCAGTGAACATTCTGCCAAACAGTAAGCGCAACATCAATACAATGCTTTTATCATGTACATTCAAGAGGCAGGTTTCACAAAGATAAGCTACACTATGGACTTATACGTTTGTACGGAAGCGTGAAGACGTCAAACTAACAGTGACAACACGGCATAGATGTTACCTTGTATATCGGCCTCACTTATGGCCTCTGTGAAATGAACTAGATCAGAAATATGTTTCAAATAATCAGTGAAAAAGTCGATTATAGGTGATAGCACCTTGCGATTTATAGTAGTAGCCTCAAAAGATATGAACAGCCTTGTTGTTGTCTCCTGTCAGAGCGGTGGTTTGCGATCAGCAAGCCAAGATATCCAAGTTTTTCTCGTGGCTGCCTCTTGATGAGGATCGCCATGAAGGTCAGAGAAACCTAGCCGGGGATCGAAATGCACGGTCCGCAATCCTGATCTTCCGATTGACGAGATATTCGCTACCATATCGTTCACTGTGTTGGTGACATAGACTCTCGGCCAGGCATCGACAATAGTGAGACTTGAGTGAACACTGCCATAAGCTTTTTTCTTGCAAGTTTCTCTCGGAATTAAGCGAGACCGATATACGATGGTAATTATGGAAGATATACTAACAATTTTATTTGTCCATTTAGCAGCGCACGCTCCAACTCCTGTCGGATATTCGCTAAAATCTCATCACGGATTCAAGATCCACTGATTTACTCAAGCATGAACGGGCAGCCTCACTCACGGTTTTGAAGGGAGGCATGTTGTTTGGCCCGATAGTTCGGAAAGCCACTGTGTTTCACGGCTTTGTTCAATTTCTCCGGCGCCCTGTTCAGAGCCGAGCGCCGGCTATGCAAGTATCGTTCGTTTTAAGACGGCTGCTATAACGTCGGAAATAACCACCCATGTGGTCCAGTTTAAGCGAAAGCATATAATGGCTATTATATGCTTATTGAATACTAATTGCTTTTGTCCCGAGAGCTCGGTTACACGTCACTCCATCAAGCACATTCAAAAAGTACTCTGCGCCGCTTGGGACAATGACTGGGTTCTGGAAAAGCGGGAGATGGCCAGAATGAGCAGGAGCTCCACGCCTGAAACAAGACCCAAGCCCGTGGCAAAATCCTCATTTTTTCGGAATCGCACCATTCACATTCGCCAAGATGCATTGGGTGCAAGGTCCAGGAGAGGAGGGTAGTACGAGAGGCGAGACAGTTTGTTGGATAATATATCGTGACAGTTCGGCACTTTCATTGCTTTCGTGAAGTACATGTCAAAGGCTTTTCAGAATGGTGAACTCAGCGTTTGTAGGCGAACCGCCTGCTACTGAAGATGATTTCTATATCGTTCGCGGTATTCTTCGTACATATGGCCTCAACAATCTCAACGCGAGCGCAGGCTTGGTGTTTTCGATCCAGCGACCTGAAAATCCACCCGACGAGTCGAAGAAACCTGCAATCTTGGCGGGTATGATCTTGGTTATACTGGCGATTGTTGTACCGACGGTTGCAAGAGTTATCATTCGTCTCAAGGGCGCGAGGACACAGTTTGGAGCAGACGACTTGGCCATTATAGCCGCTGCAGTGAGTAAATCGGTACATTTGAATCAAATCTTGTTGACATTTTTAGTCTTTGGCCGTCAGCTATCCATGCATTGTTATAGCGATGCTCGCGGAAACAGGCGCCGGTCGACATACATACGAAAGCACCTACGAAGAATACAACCTCTATTTCTACTACCTATCGGTATGCAGGATCATCTTCTACGTCTCGGTCGGGTTGATCAAGGTTTCGATCACATTGTTCGTTCGTCGACTTGCGGATAGAGCATCGAAGAAGTGGAGGCTCTTTGCGGATATCTTTCTTGGCACGGTGGTGATCTACATCCTTCTCGCGATATTTTGTAAGTTGGGCCTTGCGCTGGACTAGTGAGTGGTATTGACTTTGCGAAGGGTTCGTGTTCACATGCAATCCCATTCAGTTTGCGTGGGACAAGAAGTTTGGTGGTTCTTTGGACAAGCCACCAGTGTGCATAAACACTGGTCTACAGAATAAATTCTTGAGCAGCATGCATGTTGCGCAGGTGAGCTGAGGTGCTTCTCTGCCATCAAATGCATTTCTAACATTATTCTCTCAGAGTATTGTTCTTCTTCTCGCACCAATCATCATCCTTTGGTACGTCAAGATCAACACCGCCAAAAAAGCCCGTCTCTTCTTCATCTGGCTTGTCGGCGGTACAACAGTCCTTGGTGGACTCCTTCAGCAAACAATGGTCACCATAACCAACGACTCGTGCTGGCAATTCACATCCGCCATGCGCTGGACCGTGCTGGACCTGACATTCGGCACACTTACCGCCTCACTCCCTGTTTTGGATGCAGCGATAATGGGGACGTGGAGCTCCATAAAGACAAAGATTGGAACGTCGGGTTCCCACTCGAGATCTAGAACGCAGGGATGGACGGACCTGGAGCATGACACGAGGAACACTACGACCGTTAGGAGGGCTACGGCGGGGGATTCGGACTCGATTGAGAATATTATTGGTGGGGATAAGGGTGGTGTTGTGGAAATGGGGATTTTGAGGACGGATGAGGTCGAGTTGACTTATGATTCGGATCCGGGGATGAAGAATTATCATGCGAAATAGGTTAAAGGTCGAGGAAGAAGACACAAGTTTAGTCTATCGGTTGCTGATCAACATTCAAAAATCTTTTCTTGTTAATACAAAAACGATATCTACAACACATTTTATCTTTCTACAAGACACATGGTTTCTCAGTAGCAAGCATCATCGCAGCAGCGCCGTTGCAGACGATGCAGCAATGGTTCGAGGTTGAGTGGAAGCCCCGCTTAGATACCGGGAATTAAATACTCCAACCTTGAAATACCCCGTCCGCTTAGCATCTATTGGATCCGTCAACCCGGATGACCCAGACAGGGCAAAAGGGCCTTGGTGCCGAGCGATGGGTTCCTGGCATAATGCGGCGCGGTAATTTCTCCGTATTTCCGGGCCATGCTAACGTTATTGAGATCTAACGGCGAACGGCTTACTGGGCCCTTAGGATTGGCATCGTGTAAGAATCGTTCGATCGGCTCTGAGGAAGTCATTGCATATGGAGTCTTGACGATTTGGAGCCTGAATGAGGATTAGAATGTTTTGGTGAGTCGTTTATAAAGATGTTTCTATATGTCAGGCCAGTATACAAAACTTGTCCTGTCTTAAGATTAGATCGGCCAACATTTGATGCTGATTTCTTCCTTAAATCCTTTGCCAAGCATCCCCTTTCTGGGAACCCATGTCCCATCTCCACGACGTTCGTTTAGTCTCCCTCACGCAATGCGATTGGCGCGAGAACGGAATACTACAGCATATTAGACCCTTGCCTTGCTATAAACCTCCCGATTCCCGTAGATTTTATTCATCTCGAACATAGAGAATCGCCACTCTCTACGTCCTTAATCACCAGTCACTCGTTTAGACAAAAGTCCAGAGTATTTTTCTGGCAGCCATTCATTTTCATCCCCCCAATTACTTAATTAATTACAATGGCGCGTTTCGTTCTCAATTCGCTGCTCTTCCTCGGCGGCGCCCTAGCGTCTCCTGTCCAGGAGCGCAATGTGGATTGCACTGGCACGAACGCCATTAGCATGCACTGCCGCTCGAATGAGGTCCCCTACACGAGAGATTTCTTCTACATCGGCGGTCGCTCTGCAAAGGGGACTTCCGGAACCATCACCGTTGATCAAGTCTACGTGGAGAAGTTGACGCCTACTAAGCAGTGGACTCAGAAGCATCCTCTTGTCTTCTTCCACGGTGGTGGTCTATCGGGAAGTACTTGGCTCAACACACCCGATAACCGTGAGGGATGGGCTAGCTACTTCACCAAGAGGGGCTATGTCGTGTACTTAGTGGATAACAATGCCATCGGTCGCAGTGCTGAGAACGCTATTGCTAGCTTCCCCATGGCCGCGGGTTCTGCTACTGAGACTGTCATGAAGTTCTTCACCTCTCCCGAGAACTATGAGACTTATCCCCAAGCTAAGCTGCACACCCAGTGGCCTGGTACTGGAGCCGATGGCGACCCTGTGTACGACCAGTTCAAGAAGTCGCTGATTCCTCTTACCACCAACTTTGTCGGCCAGGAGAACGCTCTCCGTGCTGGTGGCTGCGAACTTCTTTCTCTCCTTGGCGAGAAGGCCTTTCTCATATCCCATTCGCTTGGTAGCAGGAATCCCCTTCTGCTTTCCAACGATTGCCCTGAGTACATCGCTGGTAGCATCAATCTCGAGGCTGCTACTTCACCTTTCTGGTCTTATGCTGAGGGACTAGGTGGATTTGCTGGTTCGCCTTGGGGTTTGACCAACACACCTGTGACTTACGACCCTCCAGTCAGCGACCCATCCGGTAAGCTCACCACCACCCTCTCTTTCAGTAACCTTTGCTAACACGGTCTTTTAGAACTTGAAAGCGAGTCCGTTGGAGAGGAGACTCTCGCTCATCGCAACTGCTATCTTCAAGTCGAGCCCGCCCGCAAGCTTCCTCAGATCAATAAGGTCCCTTACCTGCTCCTGACTGGTGAAGCCTCTGTTCACATCACATACGATCACTGTGTTATCGACTTCCTCAAGCAGGCTGGTGGCAAGCCTGAGTGGATCAAGTTGACTGACTGGGGCATCAAGGGCAACGGTCATTTCTTGCATGTTGAGAAGAATAACATGCAGATTGCTGGTATTGTTGATGCTTGGATCCAGAAGAAGTCTTTCAATGGCACAAAGAGTGCTTAATCTTGCGAATACTTTTAGCTTCTATAGAGAACCCTCAATGATATCTTAGCTGGGAATCCTCGACATGCACACTGATCCAATCCTTGCGTCCGTCTCTTTTGATACATACTTCGACCTGATAACCGTCTAGTAACTATATCGGAACGCCCTGTCCTCCTTGTCTGTCAAGTCAGACTTGGGCAAGCCATTCTTATCCAAAATAACCTCGCCAGTGCTGTGAGACTCTCCAGCCAGGTCTCTCTTCTTGTTATCACGATTGCAGAGGGTGCGATAAACAATCATCGTCAGAAACAGGAGACACCAAGTGACGATGCTGGTGATGACACCCTCTCGATATCGGGGGCCATTGGTCCACAGCTGAGGGGATCCAATACAGCCTGCACAATATCCGATGAAGAACATGCAGTTTACCAAAGCTCTCTTGGTGTTGCCTTTGACATTCGACGCGGAGAGTGAGAGGAGAATCGACATTGAAGCTGTAATGCAAGACGACTATCCAAAGAGTCAGCAGATGTCAGAAACAAGAAATCACTAAACTTACCACCCATGATGCAGCGATCAGACCCCAACCAGCGCTGACATCAAGCTTCATCAGGAAGACGTTGCCGATAAGAGGTGGAATGATCAGAACCAGCACGACCAACGATCGCTGTTGGGGAAACAGGGTGCAAAGTCCGACTCCAATCCACAAGAGTCCGATCTGAACTGCTCCCGATGGTGCCGTGTAGAGCATAGTCTCGAGCTGCGTGTAGCCGATTGACTTGATGACAAGAGACGCAAAAGTAAGCACGGGCGACTGCATTGTGACCAGAACTCCGAACCAAAAGACAGCCCAAGCCTTGGGGTCCAGGAGAGTCTCTCGGAGTTGACTGGTGCTGAAGCTTGTCTTGTCACCTCCCTCGCGATCACGAGCCATTCGCATCGACAACACCTCGCGTTCTCTAGGGCTCAAGAACCAAGCATCTCTCGGACCGTTAGGCATGAGAGTGAAGAACGCAATACCAGCGACGACCGTCATCGCACCGCAGACAAGGAACAGAGTACGCCATGGCGCGAGACCAAGCGACGTGTTCTTTCCAATGCCGTACATGAGAAGGCATCCGACAACTTGTGCAACGCCATTCATGGTGACCCAAAGCGCAGTACGAAGTGTGTGTTCTGATTTCCGGTACCAGATGGATGTGATGGTGACAAAGGCTGGTGATACGGCACCTTCGCTAAAGCCAAGGAGGAAACGAACGGCGGCAAAACCGGCAAAGTTGTGGGGAGCTGCGAGACACATGCAGATGGTGCCCCATACGATACTAGAAGCTTATCAGTGAGAACTTGGTGGAGAGAATGATGCACGTACACTGTGACTCCGACAAACTTGGTTAGGTGCAGTCTGCTCATGAGGTAGATACAGGGATATTCAGCGACCAATTGGCCGACGTAGAAGATAGAGCTGCACCAGGAGTACTGAGAGCTGGTCAAATTGAGGTCGTCGATGAGACCAAAGACCGCAGCGTAGCTCAAACTTTGCTTGTCGAGGTACTGGAGGAAGAAGACGAAGCACATCTGTAGACTTTTGTGAGCCATGAAGACACTCGATGGCGATGCGGTCACTTACGAATGGCAGGATGACCATGTCAATCTTGCGAAGAACCGCTTTCTCTTCTTCCGGAGTGTATGAATCGTCCATGTCGAGGATCTCACCCCTTGCCTCAGGCTCATCAAGCTTTGGCGCAGACATTTTCTTCTCAAGAGCATTATCCATGATTGCGAGTTGATGGTGAAACAAAGAAATGATCTGGATGATGTCAATCCAAGTGCATGATGGGCTACGCTGATCCTTCCTGGGGAACACCTCAATTATATCATGATCCCAACAGCTTGGTTCGCCGTTGTCAAAATTTCATCAAATGACAGCTCCGGGCATCGGATATTCGGTGACAGGAGCCACTATGGGGAAAACCTTATCATAATGCGGGGAAGGACATGGAGCCGACGAGATAGACCATCGATCCGATGGCTCAATGTCGGGAATAGTGACATTTTGCCGATAGCCATGTTGCCGACTGCGGTAATCTCGCCCGCTATCGGCAATGATCGGCGAAGAGCGTTACACAGACGAGGGGTGCTTGAGAGGAGATTGTGATAAAAAGCCACTGTCTTGGATTGTTTCTGGGCCGATATCTCAATTTTATCTCACTTATCTTGGCTTTGAACTGAGATTGCATGGTTCATTTATCCCACAGACTTCAACATGACTCAAGTCGATACAGTTCCTGGCGCAGACATCAAGCCATGGCTTCGTCATCCTCCCAAGAAGCATCTCTTCATCCACGCCAACATCATCGATGTCTCGACAGGTAAAATTTTCGAAGATGCATCGCTATCCACGAAAGACGGCAAAATCGAGACCGTCTACCCCTCAACACCAAGCCAATATCCCGATGGCTACAACGTCGTGGACTGCAAGGGCCGATACCTATGCCCAGGTCTATTCGATGCGCACGTTCATCTCTGCGCGACACCGGGCTTCACAGACTTATCCCGTGTCTTTGGAAACCCCAATGACATTTCGCTGTTGCGGCAGCCATATGTCGCTTCGCAAATGCTCTACCGCGGCTTCACATCAGTTCGTGACTGCGGTGGCGCTCAGCTTCCACTGAAGGAGGCCATTGAAGAGGGCGTTTTCCCCGGCCCCCGTCTGTTCATCTCAGGTCACGCGCTTTCGCAAACAGGTGGCCATGGCGACTTGAGAAGTTCTTACGAGAAGCATGAATGCTGTGGCGGACACGCTATTGGGTCTTTGGGCCGTATCTGCAATGGTGTGCCCGAGTGCATGGCCGCTGTTCGCGATGAGATTCGCTGTGGAGCGGACTTTATCAAGATAATGGGATCTGGTGGCGTTGCATCACCGACCGACAAGCTGGAACAGCTGCAATTCACCACGTCAGAGATTCAAGCGATGGTGGAGTGTGCGAACAATGCTGGGACCTTCGTCACGGCGCATGCATACACAACTAAGGCTATCAGGCATTGCATCGACAATGGAGTCAAGGGAATTGAGCATGGTAACTTCGTTGATGCCCCAACGGCTCGTCTCATGGCAGAGAAGGGTGTCTATCTCACCCCGACACTTATCACTTATGCCCAGATGGCCACGGACAAGTGGAAGAACTTCTTACCACCAGAGTCACAAGTCAAGAACGCCCAAGTGTTAAAGTCCGGCCTCGAAGCTCTCCGCATTGCCTCGGAAGCTGGCGTGACCATGTGCTATGGCAGCGATCTCCTCGGCCCCCTCGGCTCTGCGCAGACACAGGAGTTTTCTCTCCGCTCTCAAGCACTCAAGCCTCTTGAGATATTGCGAAGTGCAACAGTGAATCCTGCTAAGATGATGGGTTGTGAGACTACTCTGGGTCAGCTGAAGGAGGGTTTCCAGGCGGATGTTCTCATCATGGACAAGAACCCATTGGAGCAAATCGAGATCTTCGATCATCCAGAGAAGTACATCTTAGCGGTCATGAAGGACGGTCTGGTGTATCGCAGTCAGTTGGAGTCTTTGGCGGTTGACGGTGGAATTCCGATTCGATTCAACTCAGTGCTGTAGTATCTGATAAATGTCGGGAGCAATACACATGGAACAACAAAGATTTTGAGTATCAAGTTGGGAAAAGCATAAATACAAGTGTCGTTTTTCTGCCTCAAGGACTATACTTTGAACGTTGTATATTAATAATTAGTTCATGACCGTAATTCTTCCCGATTATGTTCTTTCTTGTGCAAGATTGAGTGGCAAATCACACCCGGATCGCACAAAAGGTTCAATAAATCTCCATTGTAGCATTTCAACTCTCAAAACATCGATTGCCTAAACCCAAGCTTCATGGCGCCATATCGGGAGGATAGCCTGCAAAGTCCAGCACATCAAAGCCTGTGAGCCCCATCAAAAATGGCTGGTCGTCATTATACGTCGTCGACAGGCGATATGTCTCAAACGGATCAAGCTGGTCGCCGGCCTGAAGCTGTGGAACCGGTAGACGTGACATGAGTGGCTCGAGAACTGCATCAGTGCGTGAGCTCCATTCCATAACCTCAGGCCCCGTAGACCAAAACTCTGCGTCGGCACCTGGAGGTACCTGTGTATTCTGGTCGGCACCTAATGCGCCTTCGCCAATCGCTTCGTTGTTATTAGAATTCTGCGACTGTTCTTGGTTCGACAGCCACTCCGCCCATTCATTATACGCAGACGACTGTAGCCCCTCGTCAGTAACGTTGGCAGGAGGCTGCCCAGACCGACTAAGCTTGCTCCAGGCCTCGTTCGAGATGGACCGAAGGGCTTCGACAAACCTAACACCAACTTGAGCATTTGGGTTCCCTGTCGCCATTCTTCGCAAGAAGTCTAGACCAAATCTGACGCGTCTTTCGTATCCGGGATCCCTATCAAGGATACCTGCTATGAGAGTGACGATGGTAGCAATACTGCAGCCTTGGAAGTCCGTGAATGAGAATCTCGTGGTGTAACCAGTCTGGTTCAGATCCTCAAAGAGCTGAAGCAGCTTTTTAGAAGCCTTTGCGCATGACTTTGATAGCTTTTCAGCCTTTTCGTCAATATTGCATGGCTCTGGGTTGTCTCCGAGATGTCGTCGAAGAGTCATTCTCACAAGAGTAATGAGAGACATCTTACCCATAACGATCCATGCATAGTAATAGTTGAGCCAGATATGAAAGACAGCGCGATATCGTGAGTCTTGCGGAGGAATTGTCTCCAGATCGAAGTCTCCGGGTAACGAGTCTTTCCACTCTCTTAGCTGGTTCTCCAGGCTCGATGTATCTGCCCGACCTGAATCGCTCGTTACTGTTGACCTGCAAATATCAGCATGTGAAGTGGAGCAGTAGATTGCGGACGTACTCCCAATCAGCCACTCTGTCCAAGATTGATATGAGACGAGCGAATGCTATTTGCAGCAGAACGTTGTTGAACTTCTGGGAGTCGTCAAATTCTGGCATAACAGTCGGTAATGGGACCGTAATGATCTCGGGTGCCACCGATCGTGGCCTGTTGAGCTTTATTGTCGAGCACCTGCTTCGCATCAGTACGGTTGGAGCCGACAGGAGGAGTGACCCGGACTTACCTTTCAAGTGAGTATATTGACCACCACAGTCGACGACGAACTTCTCTTTCTCGCGCGTCCATTGCTTGGTCGTCCAAATCCTGATGTAGGTCAAATGCCAGAGCCTTCCTCAAAGCCATTCCCGTGTAGACATAGGACGACCCAACTGCATTCTGCGGCATGAGATAGACACCGAGTATCAAGCATACTTGGATAGACCTGAGGCCTGGAAGCTCGATTATATCCGGCACAAGGACCTTAGCCTGCTCGAAGAACAAACGCCCGGGATCGTGTTCATCAATTCGCGAATGGCCCGGTCGTTCTAAAGGGGTCCAGTGGCTGCCAAGTGCGAAGATTGTCAATGCGAGACAGATGAAACTGGGATCGAACCTTAAGGGACACGTTTGATTGGTGTAGAACTGCTCAATCTCATGAATGAGTTGTGATTGGTCGAAATAGAAGAAGACATCGGTGCCTCGTCTGATGCAGACATGAACAAGAAACTCAGCGATAGATCGAGGAGGAAATGAGTCGACAATCTTCTTGAGGCGGACCTGTTCTGCGAGCGATGGGTTGTTTGGTCGCGTAATATTCTTGATAGATTCAGTCTCATATAACTGTCAGGTGCGGGAAAAATACTTACAGCCTGTAGATTGACCATATCCTGCTCCTCAGGGCCTGATATTGGGTCCAAAGAAAAGGCTTCGCGTAGTCTTGTCAGGAATCGGGGCCATAGTATGCCTTCAGTCTGGTCTGCATCTGTAAGTTCAGTGTCTACATAAACGTGTAATCGTTCGTACGGCTTTCTATGGAAATGTTCTCCTGTGGTGTTGCTCCCGTTTGAGACGAGGCAGCTACGGCAGTAATGGTAGCATCTCCAGCGGGCATTGGGCTTTGACTTTGTCGCGGAGACAACCTATCTCTACATTTTGTCAGATTAACTTAGCTGTCGATCCTGCAATTGTCACATACCTGTCAAAGCGACAACTAAGCTGACCCGCTTCACATCTTTGACAAATGCCTGGACTCGACTCAATGCATTTGCTCTTCCGAGCCTTGCATCGATCGCACCTGATATCGGTGACATCATCAGTTCTGAGTCCAGTACGTTGCATTAAACGGACTTACGCTCGAGGCGCACGTTTTCGGTTCTCTTCGGCAACGCGTCTACGGCGGCGACGTCGAGCCGCGGGTGTTGAATCCATGGTTCTGATGCAAGATTATGGAGATTTACGGGTAGTGGAACCTCGGCTGCTTGTCCTTGTAGAGCGCTAGGTTTGTCGGTAATTTGTACTGGGCTGGCGTCTTATCGGGTATCTGATAGCGGTCCCCAAATGCTGGGTCTTAGTCGATTATCTCTTTTGCCCCTTGTAGTCCTGGCATTCTGTTAGTGGCGTAGCAGAGTTGAAAGTTGCCTACCCCATACCATCAACAAAATTGATTCTCTTGCCTTTTTCTGCATTAATGTCTCGCATTACCCACTGGTATATTATCAAAGCAGAGAATCCCGCTTGAAAGCACAAACCCATGTCCAAACATCCTATATATTCTACTGAAGAAATGCAGATATCTATTTCTGCTCCTCACTCCTCTGCTTCCCACCACAATTCCATCAGCTACCCCACCTATTGGGTCAACCACCCCAAAACTGCGTCACGCAATCCCGTTATTGACTCGTTTCTTGAGGCACAGCTTCTGCTGTGTCCTTTCGTTTCCAGAATCACCGCTGCAGAGCGTCTTTTGAGCGAGTCATGACAGTTCCTTCATGGGTAACTTGAGTCACAGCGCTGCAGCGATGCCCAACGTCTGCAGCCAACATATTGTCGATCTTCCCCAAGAAAAGACTCCCCGCCTCGAGGTAGTAGAGATAGGAGTGTGGCACAGAGGGGAGCCCCATTGAGACCCCTACGAATTTCTATTTTTGCTTACACCGCTCAGTGCCGGATAGCAATCCCCGAGTCATTCGAAAATCTGGGGTAGCATTGATCTACACATTGCATAAAACTACCCAACTCAAAATTACGCGACACGTATCAGATGCGTACATTTAGTCAGCATGGTTTCGTGAATATAAATCAGGCTCCTAGCCCTCACTAGACTTACCAGCACAGCAAACCATTCACTGCAACACTCTCGTACAGAAGTCTTCGTATCTGTCTTGAATTCTCCCTGACTATGGCGCCGGCCCAGACCCAAGATACATCAGAGAATACTCAAAAGAGTTCCGATCTATTGGAGCATCCCAAGGGCGAATCAGTACTCACAGACAAAGACCGAAAGGCACTCGTCTTCACCGACAAGCACAGTTCTCCAGATGTCTACGTCAACTCCAGCAAAGACACTCTGTGGCATCCCTGGACAGGAACACTAGAGCTCAAGCCTCTCCGATTTGAAACGAGATCTGGTAGTTTCGTCATTGGGCTGAGAACGCCTGTCGATTGTTGGCTCGGAAAACATAGACATAGAGGTACAGTCACAGCTGTTACACTTTCTGGGAATTGGAGATACAAGGAGTGAGTACAGGACCTCGGCCCACGGTGCGTTGACTGACATGGATAGGTATGACTGGGTCGCTGGACCTGGGGACTACGTTGTTGAGAACCCAGGAACTATTCACACGCTGTTCATGGGTGCTGGCGCAGAGGTGGTGTTTACCATTACAGGAAGCCTCGAGTTCTTCAATGACGATGACAGCTTAAGGGAGACAATGGACATCTTCAGTTTCGCGGAGCTTTATTATGACCATTGCAAGGAGAAGGGTGTCGAGCCAAATGAGAAACTATGGTACTAAGCAACATCAACCTGAGGTTTGGGTTAATAGTATGTTAGTACTTTAGAGTTCAAATTCTTAGCCTTTCCGAGGGCAGCCTTTGTCACTGATAGAAGAAATATTGTCCAAAGGTCTGACCTGAATTCCTTGGTAACTTTGTCCAGTGCCCAGTGCCCAGTGATCCCGAGTCATGCATGGCGGCCAACAGCCCGGGTATGTCTGTGAATAGCTAACAATGAGAACTTGGAGCGCGCTATGTCTATCTGAAGACCCCTGAGTTGGATGCAACTACGCCATGACAATATTCTAAATCTCACTTGGAAAGTCAGAAGTCGAATAGCTTCTCGGTTATTCTAGCTAACAGAAGGTCAATCTAAAACACCTTGAAAAAAAAAGCATACTCTGGGGACATTTCTAGAAGGACAAGCAATTTCTTAGTATATCTCACTCGGGTAATCCAAGTATAAGTATTTATCTTATATGATAAGAGTGCTACCTCTTGTCATTCCAAGATTTATCCAAGTCAATAGTGAAATCCATCCAGGTTCGTCTCCATTTCCATGTAAGATGGCGGCAGCCCAGCCTTACCGACGTCAAAGCTTAATATAACAAGTCTCCCAGAAATACAATCCACAATGACTGTACTCCCCGGTATGCTTATTTCGGCGTCTAGACACTCTGGAGAGAGCCTAAAGAACTTCTCGTTCCCGATCGTGATCCATGTCTGATCTCGTCTCAGAACCGGCCGGGTGGGCCACACACGCACCCTTTGACGAAGAGGTTCGACCACAGGAATGACATTGCCGTCAAGAATGACGTCTCCACTATTTAGCTGATTGAAGAAACCTCGAAGGTTGCGAATATAGCCGATATCTGCAAGGCGTTTGTAGTTATGATGTTCCAAATGCCAGCCACAGATGGAGAGATCCATGTGGAATGTTACAAGGATCTTGCAATCCTCCGAATAAAGGCAGTATTTAACCATCCCTCTGATGTCGAAGGAACAAGTGTAGTTCCCCGGTTCCACATTACAGATCGTAATAGACCTTTCATTGGCAACAACCACCGTGGCGAAATCAGGCGAGAACTGGATGAAGTTGCTGTCGCCTACCAGCAGGCATTCGAATTTATTCCGGCGCAGTGACCAAACCTCATGGCCGTCCGCCGTATGCAATACCACTGTTCTCCCATTTGGTGATGTTTCAACGTCGAGAATCACGTTATCCCGGCTTTTCGCGCTTTTCAGGACTTTGCTTTGAGTGTGAGGGTCCCATATCCGGACAGTATTGTCATCCGAAGAAGCTGTAAGAATCATAGTGAAGTCATGCGAAAGCTCAACTGACCAATTAAAACTTGTAGATGGGAAGTCAAAGGCCTGCTCACAATTTCCGCTTTGAATATCATGTATCAGAGCAGTTCGTGTGCTGAGGACTGCAATAAGTTTTGTCGCGTCTTCTGAAAACATCAACGACTCGTATTTCTTGTCGCACAAGCAGTTTTTCAGTTCGTGCATAAATGCTCCATTTCGAGCATTCCAGATCCCTATGCGGCCCTCCACATCTCCGGAAGCTATCATACGTGAGTCGGGAGAAAATACCGCTAACAGGATATCGCAGTCATGGCCCCTGAGCACCTTTTTGCATTTACCCGCATCTAGATCCCAGATACGTAAAGTCCGGTCGACAGAAGCAGAAACAAGCACTTGATTGCAAGGCGAGATGGCCGCTGTATTGACCTTTCCTGTATGGCCCTTCAATATCTTCTCGCATCTACCCGTGTGAGTGTTCCATAGTCTTACTGTTGCATCATCCGAGGATGTGGCTACCATCTTCGAGTCCTTTGAAATGACAGCTGAGTTGACCGCTCCTGTGTGTCCCCTCAAAATGATATGGTCCCAAGTCTGTGTCTTCCAGATTCTTACGAATTGGTTTCCACTTGCTGTGAGCAAGACCTTCGAGTCGCGAGAGAAGGCAAAAGCCTTCCCTGTAGGTGAGGGATACTTCAAGACTTCGTCACACTCTCCCGTCTGCAAGTTCCAGATCCGTACCGTACCACCAGTTGAGCTCGAGGCAAGGATTCTGGAATCTTGTGAGAAGACTACTGACTGGATTTTACCAGAGTGTCCCGCTAATACATGCTCACATTTACCAGTCTTCGTTGAAAGAATTCGAATAGTATTGTCAGCATATATCGATGCGATAGTTTTTGAATCAGGTGAGAAGATAGCTGACTTGACTACAGCACTGTTACCTATAACCAAGGAGCATGGGCCCCACTCATCCTCGACTACTGGCCAGGCTAGAAGCCAGCTAGGGACTCGACTCGCGAAAAGACGTCTCACGATACTATTTGTTGGCGAGAATACTATTGCTGACGAATAGACCTGTAGTGGGGCTTCATCAATAATGGAAAAGTGAGTTCGGATGAATCTCAGAGCGTCTTTGACAAGGTCCGAGAGGTCTTCACAGGAGTATTTCTGTAGATTGTAAGTATGACGCACTCGGATTTGAAGAAGACAACGTACCTCTAGCCATTCATCCAATGCATGTAATATAGTCAGACAGTCGGTGGTATGACCAAGCAGACTCATTGTTTCCAACCAATGGAGCAGATGCTTTTCTAAAAAGGGATAGATCTCATGCGCCTCGCACTCTTGGGTGTTCGAGGAGACATAATGGTGTACCCAGTAATGACAAGCATAGTAAAGCTCCGGAGGTATGAACTTCTGCGGGTCCAGGCCTTCGATCTCAGATGGAGACGTTCCCGGAAAGGGTAGTCTGCATATGTTTTCACGAAGTATAGAACCCATGATGAAGAGGCAACGACTTGCCAGTCTCCGGTGCGTGGCCTTTTCGTCCACCCAGAACTCCATAGCTCCTTGCAGATCAGGATCAACGAGATAATCCCGGAACGATAGATGTAGGATCCTAACAGGGACTTCTGGGGTTTTGGGTACGTCGAGAACAGACTGAAGAACCTTGATCTTCATATCAATTGTCGTGGCAGGGATTTTAAGCAATAATGATAGAGCATTGATTGTCAACGGCGTTGCTAATGTGACGATGGCGCCAACGATTGATTGGAAGCTTTTGACGATCTCTTCTCGCTCTCTCCTCGGTCTATTGACCACTTGTGAGGCGAGAATGGAGGAGTATATGTCGTTAAGCCGAGACATATGCGTGCGGCTACTGGACTCAAGAATCCTTACCAGAAGCTCATCCGGGCCACCAAGAGTAGCATCATTCAAGAACCGACAAATAGTTGCCGCAGCGATGAACAGGGGTAGTGTCATGGAAACAAGCTGTCTAATCTTCACAGTGCCCGGCCACTGCTCAGCTAGCCGTTGGTCGCTGCGAACCACATAATTAAAGTTCTGTCGTATTATACCCAACTCGTGTTGGAGAAATATAGATATGTCGTGCTCCATGATATCTTGTGAAATGCTGTGGAGCTCAAGACCCTGGTACATACCGTTGATATCTAGGAATCCAAGCTGAATCGGAAGTTCTGGTCTGCTCGTAATTAACACTCTAAGTTTCAGCGAACCTAGGTATTCCATATCAGCAAAAAGTGAAATTATACGTTTGATTTGGAATTCCCCTTCACACTCATCAAGGGCGTCTATGACAATGACAAGGGACGTTGGATCTGATGAAGAAGCTGCCAATTTCCTAAGAGGCTCTTTGAAAAGCTTCTCAAACTGCTCAGCAAGAGTTTTCGTTGGGAGCGACGGATCGGCATCGATGGCATTTTTGATCAAACTGATCATACCAGGGATATTTATTGCTAATTGGCGTGCCAGGGTAGGAATCAGCTTCGACATATTCCCTCGGCTTGCCTCTCCTCTTTTGAAGAAGAAGTTTGCACCAAGACAGTCTCTCTCCAACTGCCGCTGTGCAACAGTACGTGATATGGTCGACTTCCCTGTTCCCGCCATACCATTTAGCCAGAATATGGTCTTTGACTCAGAACTCGTGACCCATTCGTCTATCTCAGCGAGAAGCTGAACTCGTGTCTCTGGTAGGCACATCGGGCTATGTTCCTCGGCGTAAGAGTTGAATAGAGCTTCAGCTACAAAGGGGAGCTGGTCAAGGGTCGAGGTGAGATCGGTCTGCTGCATTCGATGACTGTTAAGAGATAAATAAACTAGCCATACTTACGAGCGAGTGACTTACCTCATGGAGTCCACTTTGCCTTCCACTGATGTAACATTAGTAGCAGGTCCAACTAGAAGATGGCGAAGCTAGTATACTAACGTGACTGTAGTATCTCAAGAACTCGTGGAGACTCTTTGAGTTGCCGCACGGGAACGTGGCCAAGAAGCTCTACGGCAAATGCAGCAGCAGTAGATGCTGCATATCTCTGCCACTGATCATTCTTGTGGCTATCGGCATAATCGCAGATACCGCGAATAACGAGGCATGGGAACCTATCGACCAAGCCTGCGGCTTCCATCTCGACACACAAGCATTGGTGGCCTAGGCTCTCTGCGAGGTTATCTCTAAAAGTCGCGTCTTTGATAAGAGTGTTGCCTGAAGCAATAACTCCATAATGGATCATCGGCTCTGTAGTTTCCCGTTCCTCGCGATCGATTTTGCGAGAGATATCGCACTTCGCGCATGTCTTCCCACCAACGTGGTCATAGTCTGATGGGAAAAGACGGTCGTTCTCTGAGCCCTGGTAGGTGAAGTTACTGCCAGGACGTTTCATGCCAGGGTTAGCTATCAACATAGCCTCCACGAGTTGTGGTATCTTGGAAGGTCGAATCTCGTGCTCAGCCTGCAAGTTCGCCAGGGCTTTCAATAGGACTGCAGGTGGTTTGTCAAGCGACCCTGTTCGTTCCCAAACCCCATTCGCTTTCGCCTTGCCAAAATCATATTGCACGACGCCCCCAGTTGCACCATGCGGCTGACCAACAACAACATCACCAAGTCTAATATCCTGATCGTCGTTAGGTCTGGCTATAGCTCCACCAATACCGACCAAGAGACCAAAACGGAGTTGCGGCAAAGAGTGTACAAGATCCGAGGCGCTGGTGGCAGCGGAAGTTGTTCCATAGACCCCTGCTGGTAGAGAAGCGATGACGATGTTATGTTGCCCTATGCGGCCCCAAATATAATTATTGGTATCCGAAGAAGATGGATGAAAGCTATCTGGTTCAGAGTGCTCCTCATCCAGTAGTGCCCTTGCTGCTGCTTGCTCGATGGCAAGGGCCGCGATCCAACCAATAGTATAGAGAGACGGACTATCAAGCTTCGTCTTCTCGCACTCCATTCCTATGTTGACTACCGACCAGATAAGGTCGCATATACTGTTACTCTCGGGCTAGAGCATGACGGAACTAAATGTACGGTAAGATTGGTAACCAGGCAGGTAAAAAGAGGTAAGGATGCGGGGTTGCGGCTGAGCGCGTTTCGTCATCTTATTTGATAAGGGACAGGCGGAATAATATCCGTCCCGGCGA